TAGCAGTGGTGTTAACGAGAGGTAGGAATAGTCCCGAAGATCAGGCCGCCTCAAACCGTTTGGCCAGCGTGGGGAGTGTAGGCCAAATTCTCCTTTTTCTATAATTAATTGATCTAGTCAATAAGGGACGACCCTCTCTAATTTCCTGCAGTAGAGGTTAAGGCCGAGTTACACCATCCTTCTTTAACCTTAACTAAAACGACTTGTTCCCATGGATACATCCCGTTTTTTGGAGGATCCCGTTAAGGAGTTTTAATAATAACGTTTACACGAACAACTCGTTTGCAGTGTCCCGTATACGAGTAAATCAGAACCGTTCGAATTTGTCATTTGAATTTCAAATACATACAATGTGTGTTTCTCAATAGTCCAGTTTTGCAGTACCCTGCATTACTGGACCCCTCAAAACTGGATTACCAACAAACCGTTACCATATTTTGTATAGAGTTTGACCTGCAGAGTTTCGACGTTTGTTAAAGTTAAAGTAAGATGCAACCCAGCCTAAATGAGCTGACGAAAGATTTTTTTAGTTATGGAGAAGACAAGGACGAGTCCGTGATAGAAGCAGACGTGGAGTACCTCCGTCTCACCAGGAAGGTGATCAACGATGAGATCACCAAGTTCGAGGACCTGAAGTGGCTGATCGGATGGTTCAACAACCGCTCGGAGCTCATACAGGAGCATATGTGTAATACCAGATATTTTGCCGTTGGTGAGTGCTTTATCAATGTAAAAGGCAATATCGTTAGATGTCGTGTCGCGACTGAAGCTTCCATAGAAATAAATGTCCTTGGACATCCTAGCTATACTGCATCTCACTTAACACACCGTGCGATTGCGGTCAAATACCTACTTGTCTACATCATCATCATTATTTCAGCCATAGGACGTCCACTGCTGAACATAGGCCTCCCCCAATGCTTTCCACAATGGCCGGTTGGTGGCGGTCTGCATCCAGCGCCTTCCCGCTACCTTTATGAGGTCGTCGGTCCACCTACCTGCCTGGTTATACATAAAAATAAACATTTTATACAGCACCTTTAGTCCCAAATTAAGCAAAAGAGAGCAAGCTTGTACGAAAATAACTACCATGGGTACTAGACAAAGAAACCAATAGGTATTGTAGCGTCTATAAGTACGGCTAGCACGAAAAACTTTCGAGTTCGAATCGTTTGCGTATTCAAATCGCCATCAAAAGATATAGTACGAAAACTACAACAGCGCCCTTGTGAATGTATCGTAAAGTGAACTTACTATGAGACATGGTTGCACGAAACTTATCAAAATTGTCGTTATCGTTTTATTCGAAGGTTGAGTATCGAATTTTGTCGAATACGCAAACGATTCGAAGACGAAAGTTGTTCATGCAAGAGGTACAGGCCTCATCAAAATTCCAGCAGTTTTTAGAGAATCTTACTACCGTTCCTTGAATCTCGAATCGGAGTCGGCAATCCGATATCTACACTGTTGGGTTATTGTCACTTTAATTACTTGTGTGACAATTGGAACAATTTATTTAACGACCTATTGTATTTTTCCAGGCATCCCTCCCACAATGTTCACTCATTCCGAGGAGTATATGAAACGCATGTGCCTATTCGACAACGTGTACATAGACCACATCCCATACGTGGTGGGAGAGGATAGTTCACTGATGGCTGCAGTGGCGCCCCCTGTCTTACACTGTGATGCTGCTACCTGCACCTCTGTGCCTTTTATTGACAGGTGAGTTTCAATTTTGGCGATCCGGCTCAAAGGACCATATCTCATCATCATCATCATTTCAGTCACAGGACGTCCACAGCTGAAAACATAGACCTCCCCCAATGATTTTCGTGTCGACCGGTCGGTAGCGGCCTGCGTCCAGCGCCTTCTTGTTACCTTTATGATGTTGTCGGTCCACCTTGTGGGTGGATGTCCCACGACAGTGTGGTGGACGACGACCATATCTCGGTAATATCCAATTTTGGGGCGATCCGGCTCAGAGGACCATATCTCGATAGTACTCAGTTTGAGATGATCCGGTTCGAAGGGCCATAATGTTGATATTGTGGTCAATGTATAATATCATCACAGTCTGAACTTATATGTTTATACCTCACTTCTTCCACCACTAAAAATCAGTGTCAAGTGCCAGCTATACTGTCAAGATGGTACTGAGTGGGTGACCTTTTTTGCAACTATATTTTTTTGTGTCTTTTGTTGCCAAATAAACCAATTTTCTTTATTTCCTTCTCTTCCAGCGTAATGTTTGACGAGAGGCTCGCGCGGACGAACGTTCGCACCGTAACCCGTTGCCAGGCCAGTTGCCGCGCGCACTGCCGCAACGACGCGGATTGTCTCAAGCGCTGCAGCGACCGCTGTCTTAGAGCTGAATAAACGTGCTGATGTCTAGATTGTGTTTTATTTTTGTCTATAGCTCTAGCGCATAAACTAAGTGCCTGAGCAGCACGGGAGGAGTGGAGTGGCGACTACGTAAAAAATGACGACCCTTGCGGCTACTTTCAAGAACTAAAACCTTTGTAGAATTTTTGACGTACTCGCTAGCGTACACCTAAACGTAAACTCATGGTAAGCAGACTGAAGTCTCGCTCACGTCAATTACTTTCACATCAACTAAAACATCCTCTGCCGTTCTCATACCTCAGGCACTAACTGTACGGCTAGCACGAAAAACTTTCGAGTTCGTATCGTTTGCGTATTCGAAATTTCGAATCGCCATCAAAAGATTTAGTACGAAAACTACAACAGCGCCCTTGTGAACGTGTTGTAAAGTGAACTTAGTATGAGATATGGTTGCACGAAACTTATTTTGGGAATCAAAATTGTCACGTTATCGTTTAATTCGAATGTTGAGTATAGAATTTTGTCGAATACGCAAAAGATTCGAAGACGAAAGTTGTTTATGCTAGAGGTACTGAGTACGTCAAAAAATCTATGAAGATTTTAGTTCTTGAAAGAAGCCGCTAGCGGCGCTGTACAATTTTTAAAGTCATTTTTACGCACTCGCCAGCCAAGTACACCTAACGTAAACTCATGGTAAGCTCTCACCTTTAACCTATAGTTCCAAAATACTGGACTGTCCTGTCGATGACATTGACAGTGGGGCGCCACCGTCAATACCGGATCGCTGGTTCAGATTTTTGCCATGTTGGAAACCATATAGTTGAACGATGGTACCGCCCCCCTGTCATTGAGTTTGGCGGGACAGTTCAGCGTGGGTCATCTATACTTTGACATTGGGCTCTTCAAACTATTAAAAACTAATTTGGTGACGCAATACATCGACTTTTAATTCTGCTTATAGACTTCTCAAACCCGTTTCGAAAATATTTTGGAACGGTTTTTGCAAAGATAGTCGTAGCACACATATTGTATTTTTGCAATGAAGCAAAAAGTATGATTAAGAGGCCGTACCTACTATGGGTGCAAAAATATTGTGTTATTTTTGCATACAAACATTAAAGAACCACAAAAACAAATATATCAGAATTTTAAGAAATTTTGTGGTTATATTGACAGAACATTAAAATGTATCCTTAAAAAGAAAATAATTTTGTAACAGAAACAGACATTATACTTACTTATTTCTAGTAAAAATAAATTTAAATTTTTATTTAAAAATGTAAATCGTTGAAAAAATAAAAAAAGAATTTTGGACGTAGCTATTGTATTAAAGGAATTATGACTGTGCTAATGAATATAAATATTGAAGAAAAAAATCGGCAATTTCATACTTTACCCCCTAATTATTGGATTCTTCAAGCAAGTAGGTCAAGCGTTGCGAACTGCGCTACATTGTATATGTAGGCTCACTAAAGAACCTGTTCATGCAAAATTATTTTGGTATAACAAGTTTTTTAAGGTTAAAAAAAGAAGAAGACTACCTAGTGGAAGATATCCTGTATTCGATTTCAAATACATTCTGTCTTTATTAATAACAGCTGACTGCATACAGGGTTCCGTACCTCAAGCAAGAGAACCCCGGGTGACAACCCATGCCACGCCACTGACCACCATCTTACTTAAGTCTGTCGCCGTAACAACAATGTTAACAGCATTGTTGTGTTCCGGCAGTTAGAGGTAAGATAGCCAGTTCCTCCGTGGTTGAGGATTCCGGGTGAAGCTCGCTTCCACCTTCGGCCTGATCATCACTTACCATCAGGTGAGATACAGGCCAAGAGCTTCCTCGTTGTGGATAAAAAAAAGCTTGAAAAGATCGAACTGATTTAGGCGGGAATCGAACCCACGACCTTTCGCTTGCCGGGTTCATCCAGTGTCTAAGTAGCTCAGATGGGAAAGCAGTCGCCCGGCAAGCGAAAGGTCATGAGTTCGATTCCCACTTTAGGCAGTTCGATTTTTTCAAGTTATTCAGAGCGCTTAACTGAGTGCCTGAGGTATGGAAGCGGCACGGGAGGGTGTTTTTTGTTACGTCAAATGTCAGTGAGACTTCAGATCAGACCGATCCCTCAGGCACTGTCTAAGTCGGCGCTAGATCTATGGTCCTAAGTACACCTGGCTAGCTACCACCATCTTATGTCTGCCATAGCAACAATTTAACAGCATTGTTGTGAAGTAAGGCAGTAGGGAGTAAGATAGCCAGTTCCTCTGTGGTTGAGGATACCGGGTGAAGCTCGCTTCCACATTCGGCTTGATGGTACCCAGGCCAAGATCTTTATTTAAAAAAGCTCGTGGTTTTTGACTCGCTGAAAGTGAGGAGTACGTAAAGTAGGGTCTCCAGCGTGTCAACAAAAACATCTCAATATTCAACAAAATTTCCAGACAAAAATGTTGAATGTTGACATGGTTATTTGTTGATTATGTAGAGCAAAACAGGCGCTGGAGACCCGGCTATCAATGTTCTGTTCATTTAAAATGCTTACGATAGCTCTCTATCTTTTATACTCTATGACGTAAACGGACGGAACCATTTTTCGTGGGACCGGCTCGCGCTTGACCAGAACCTGATTGCGCATCATAATAATAATACAGAATTAAGGAAGATCTTAGTATAGTTATATTTGAATCGCGTGTTAACCAGTCGCCCGCAAAATATCCTTGGTGTTAATTTAATTTGGGTTGTTATTATCAAATATTAGTATTGCTATGTGTTTTCATACATTTGTGGTTGCACAGTGATTATTTAGCTGAGAAAATGGTGAGTATTTAAAGTTAATATCTAACTTAAAAAGTAAGGAAGTTCTGGACTGTACTTGGTTAAAAAAAAGCTTGTAAGTTGTATTAAAATAGGGGTTAAAATATGAAATTGACGATTTTACAATAGCTTGATGTCCATTGTAATTTTTTTATTTTAAATGTTTTTTTTTTTGCACTAGAAATAAATCTTCAAAAACATCCCGATACAAAAAATGAATATCATTTTACAAGTATCAATTTTCAAGTTTTTTCTTTATGTACTATCCTATAGCTTAATATTGTCCTAGTCTATCCACAAAATTTCATAAAACTAAGATATTTGTGGTTCCACAGTCGCAAAAAAGGTGGCATGGAAAAATTTATTTTCTCTTCTCATACAAGACGGCAATTTCATACTTTAACAACTAATACCTATTATAGTTCATCGAATCAAAATGCTCAATCTATGCTAGAAATTATCAAGTATTAAGCTTTGTTCTGCAATCAAGTTGTATTTAGCAAAACAAGTTCTTAAGAAAAAGAAGAAAAAAAAGGTTTATGATAATTTTGTGCCGAAATGCCGAATCAACGAATCTTTTAGTAATATTTCTGTTATTTACATTAATAAGTTGTTTCCTTAATCCAAATCGAGTTTAGCTCGTGTTATTAATACTCCTTTTTGTGCGAATTCTATGAATTAAAAAAAGTTAATTTCAGAAAGATCGTGTACTCGTATACAAGGTTATTTGTAAAACTTACCAACCTTGCAGGACAAGATCTAACAACAACTTTTGCTCTACGAGTTTTGAGATCAATAAAAAGTTTTGACAAGACATCGGAATGTCTTCGTACGCTCCAGTGTAGGCTACGATCTGTGACAGACTAAATTTCACGCGGGTGAAGCCGCGAGCAAAAGCTAGTATTCTAAAAGGCTCAAAAGACGCGTATTCATGAGAGCTTAATTAGCAGGTTGCAAAAAGAATTATTCGAGACAGTAAAAAATAATTTTGACTGAAGTGAAGTAGAAAAAGATATAATAAAAAAGAAATGATTTTGGCGCTCGATATTTTGGAAACGAAGAATGATATCAAATATTTGAGAAAAACTTCTCTGGACAATTTAGTCAGCTACTAAAACAAGTCTAAAACAAAGACGATTGCGCTGCTTATTGAATTATTATTGTTGTTTAAATTCTGATATATTAAGTTATTATAATTAAATAAATTATTACTTTAAATAGGTTCTATCTGAAACCACAGTCTTCATTAGTAATTGTAAACATATTGAAATAATCATTATTATTTATTATGTTAAAATTAATTTCGAAGGCTTAATTAAATCACGTTTAACTTTAGAATGATAAAAGTCAAGTACGCAATTAATTATTTGGAGTCCGAAAATAACAATGCGATGCAATCATCATCATCACTACATACATATGAAAACAAAGTCGCTTCGTTGTCTGTCTGTCCTTAAGTAGGTACAAGTTAGATCTATAAAACTACGCAACGGATTTTGATGCGGTTTTTTTTAAATAGATAGAGTGATTCAAGAGGAAGGTTTTTTTTAGAGAATAATTCATTGTTCGTGTGCGAAGCAGGGGGCGGATCGCTAGTTAATTTATAATATAACTAGCTTTTGCCCGCGGATTCACACGCGTGAAATTTAGTGTGTCATATATCGTCATATAAATAAAATTCCTAAGATATGTTATTCTGGGTTATAAACAATAATACTGTAAATCAACAAAATCCGTTCAGTAGCTCGATTGGAAGAGCAGTCGCCCGGCAAGCGAAAGGTCGTGGGTTCGATTCCCGCTTTAGGCAGTTCGATTTTTTCAAGTTGTTATTTAAAATTTAGTGTGCTTTGACCTTAGCTCTGTAGATAATAAATGTATTTTTTTTTATAATTTACATTGTAAAAAAAAAGGAAGAAGTAGGAAAATGAATAAAGGGATAATAATAATAGAAGGACGCCATTCTGAACACTTGTAGGATAGTTCGCAAGTTTCTTCAAAGTGAACAAACCCAATAAGAAAATGTCGCTCACTTGGGTTCGGCCCGTGAACGACAATAAAAATCGGATTCCAGCGGAAACCGTGCCTATAAAAATATAGAAAAAAAAACTTTATTGCCAACATTGTTACATAATTTGAGTTTAACAGCGTTTAATTTGACATTAATGTAAATTTTCAGATGCTGAAGATCTGTGCGTTGGTCGTGGCCCTGACGCTTGGTCTTGCTGACCAGACTGGAGCTATCAACCCCCATCACCATTCTCTAGCACCACTCATTGACAGCGTATTCTTCGCGAATGACGTAATAGTTGCAAGAAACCAGCAGGGAGAGAGGGAGGGAGGTAAACAAGGTAAAGAATATAAAGTTCTGAAAACGAAAATATTTCTTTTTACCCAAGAAACATCTTTAGAGGATGATGTTAAAGCTCAAGCAGACTTATCAACTCGGAAAGGGATCAACACCGCTGTCAATCGCGAGGCGTTTACGTATGGTGCGGTTTAGAGTAGGCGCACACCGTTGATATTTCGTCGACCGAAGTTGTGCCCGATTTTAATTTGTATGAAGAATCGGCCAAATCGAATCGGCGTAGTGTGCGCACTCCCATACATGCCCATACTGATCAACTGCCCGACTAAACTATCGGCCGACGAAAAATCAACGGTGTGCGCCTACTCTCAGTGTGCATTGTCCATAGAGTTTCATACAAAGAATACTGACCGCCTCGAGTTGATACGGTTACGATCCCTTTCCGGGTTGATGACGTTCTTAATTTCTTTATTCTTTTGCAGGTGACAAAACACCCTGCGAAATGCCAGACGGTAGCAGTGGTTACTGCGTGCATTCGTACCTTTGCGAGAGCCAACAAATCGTTAAAGATGGGGCTGGATTGATTACTGAGAGGTGACGATTTTTTTAGAATGGAATGGAATGGAATGGAATGGAATGGAATGGAATGTGCGTGCGTCTTATTAAACAAAGTCTTATTTTTCAGGAGATCCCAGTGTGTTGCGCCTAAAATATGCTGCAAACATAGAAAAACTAATCAGGTTTTTATTTAACTCCTTTTAAGTCTTCTAATTAAAATCGTTAAATGGGTTTCGAAACAGTGTTTTCCCCGGGACTACTTACTTAGCATTCACTTTAGCTTAGGTTTCAAAAGGCCAAAATATTGATCTTGGTTAAGAGTTGTAGTGGTGGAAACGAGAGGTTTATTTTAAGTACGTAAAGATAAATATTTATACAACTTATAAATATTATAGAACAAATTCTAGTGCAAGACTATTATTTTTATTTTATTCACAAAATTTCGTTTCAGGAAACACCTCATATCGGTAGCAGGAGCAATGGTAAGTACTTACCCTTTCCACCCAACAGATGGCGTTGTTACGACACGCAAATTATTAATTATTATTTAGAATTTATGCTTACTTATTCTAAAGTCCCGCGACCTTTACCAGATCGTCGGTCCACCTAGTAGGAGGCCTGCCCACGCTACGTCTTCCAGCCCGTGTAGGGTTGCCAGGTCCAAAATCACAAAAGCCGAACTTTGTGCATTTGTGCAATTAGTGTGTCAGGCTGACATGAGCTGAGCTCATGAGTGAGTACTTGCTAACCAACATCCTGATGCGTGCGCTTCATATGATTCTGTGGCTCGACTTTCGCCTGGCGCAGCAACCAAATAAAAAGCCTAACAAAAGCAGGACAGGCCGGACAAGGCAATATTTGGCCGGACAAGTCCCTAAAAAGCCAAACATGTCCGGCTAAAGCCGGACGCCTGGCAACCCTATGCGGATCTCCTCATTTCTGATTCGATCACGCAGGGAAACTTCGAGCATAGCCCGCTCCATCGCCCTTTGGGTGACCTTGAGCCTTCTTATGAGGCCCATAGTAAGCGACCACGTCTCAGATCCGTATACCATCACTGGCAACACACATTGGTCAAATATATTCGACTTGAGACACTGCGGTATTTCGGACGTGAGNTGTACCTGTACTATTACTTATTTTGTGCTTACATGCAACTCAAAAGTAACTAGTAGTTGCAGTTTCGTTGCAGTTGCGTTTCATCGTCTGTTCTGGGCCTAAGAGTTTTGAGATCAATAAAAAGTTTTGACATCGGAATGTCTTCGTTTGCTCCAGTGTAGGCTACTGTCTTCACGAAAAAGAGCGATCCTTTATATCTTAAAGAGTTATGAAGTGAAGATAATGATCCTACTTAAAATACTTATCATAAATGCGAAAGTTTGTGTGGATGTTTGTTACTCTTTCACGCAAAAACTACTGAACGAATTTTGATGAAACTTTACAGTATTATTCTTCATAACCCAGAATAACAATATAGGCTATAATTTATGACGATCTGTGACAAAATAAATTTCATGCGGGTGAAGCCGCGGGCAAAAGCTTATACTATAAAATTATTGCTATACCTATTTAAAGCGATATCTTTAAAACCTAGAGTAGGTATTCCAGAAAAACAAAAACCGTTATTGTTATTGATTTATTATTATTGTTGTTTAAATTCTGATACATTAAGTTATTATAATTAAATAAATTAATACTTTAAATAGGTTCTATCTGAAACCACAGTCTTCATTAGTAGGTAATTGTAAACATAATAAAATATTATTATTATATAATATGTTAAAATTAATTTCGTAGCTACCTAGGCTTAATTAAATCACGTCTAACTTTAGAATGATAAAAGTCAAGTACGCAATTAATTATTTGGAGTCAGAAAATAACAATGAGATGGAATCATCATCATCACTACATAGATATGAAAACAAAGTCGCTTCGTTGTCTGTCTGTCCTTAAGTAGGTACAAGTTAGATCTAAATATATACCTAACTACGCAACGGATTTTGATGCGGTTTTTTTAAATAGAGTGATTCAAGACGAAGGTTTTTTTTAAAAGAATAATTCATTGTTGGTGTGCGAAGCAGGGGCACAGAATAAGTAATAGTACAGGTACAGAAGGATTACTCCGCAAGACGATTTAAATAAATGCGAGTCTTGCTACGACGCGATACAGTGGAATTCAGCTCGCACAGCACTACGTACCTACAATTTTATTCACCTACAAGTTTTGTCTCTTTCTATCGCGTGCCGCTGAACTCTTCTTACGATGTTAGGGTTGCTGTCTAGTGAAAAAAATAATTAACCNTTAAAAATATCTATTACAAAATCAGATGTAAGCATTTTATTTAAAAAGTAATATTTAATCATTTTTACCATTCAGAATTATTAGGAAGTTTAAAAAATGAACGTTCTGGTTTTGAAGATGCCGGGTTAAAGTAGCCGTATACTACGCAATACACTCGTGGCATGTTTTTAAAAATACAGCGGACAGTGGATGCAATAAAATAATTATTATTAAAAACGTAACGCGCGCGACACCCGCGACGGATGGACTGCGAGGTTCGCTTAGAGCTCGTGTAAAGCGTGCGTCTGTGTGCGTGAGTCTGATTTCGAGCGTTTGTATATTTTGTGCTTCCGTACTGTTTGATTTATCTACTGTGGTACCAGAGCGTCGATGTGACGTCACGGACGCCAGGTGCGCAGTTAACTCGACAGAAAAACGCCAACTTTGTTGGTTTATAAGAGATTGGAGGTAATAAGTGAAGAGTCAATGTTTCGTACACCCTGTATTTATTGAATTGTATATGATTTTTTAACCGACTTCAAAAAAAAGAGGAGGTTCTCAATTTGGTTGGTATAATTTTTTTTGCATGTACACCGATTTCTGATTTCTGCCAATTGATTTTTTTTTTATTCGATGCGCAATATTTGCCATTTGGTCCCTTAATAATTTAATTTGGTTAAGATTTTTTTATTTTATGTGTTTTTCTACTTTTCAGTTCTCTTTTTTTGTTTTCGGTTTTAATACTTTGTTAAAATAGATTTTTGTTGTTTATTTTTTAAGTCGGTTTTTTTATAGTTATTCCAGGACCATCACATCCTCGGATTGCTTGGAAACGGAAGTGTGCTGCGAGAAAGACCATGAAAATATCGAGTCTACAACAAAGTCACGGGTAAGAAAGAAAAAAAGACAAAAATAGTTTATTGAAGGTAGCCTTTCGAACTGAGCGTCTATAACTTTGGTCTTGTGCCAACGCCGCATCACTGATGCCAACTCGCTTCGAAAGGCTACCTTTTACCAAATCAAAGCTAAAGTCAGTTTCAAGACAAGCCCTGGCGGTCTTGATGTACGCTGAGCGGGTGCCTTTTTGTCCGAGGGGCACAAGCAGTTAATTGTCCACTTGTTTATTTCTATTTTTTTTTNATCATTGCTTTCCACCCAATAGATGGCGTTGTTACGACACGCAAATTATTAATTGTTATTTAGAATTTATGCTTACTTATTCTAAAGTCCGGTCGCCGAGCAGATAGAATTTCGTATTATTTATATTTATTTATTTTAATGCATATTATTTTGCAGGTGACAAAACACCTTGCGAGTTGCCAGACGGTAGCAGGGGTTACTGCGTGAATTCGTACCTTTGCGAGAGCCAAGAAATCATCAAAGATGGGGCCGGCTTGATTACTGAGAGGTAACGTTTTTTTTTAGAATGGAATAGAATGGAATGAAATGGAATAGAATGGAATATGCGTCTTATTAAAAAAGTAATTTACTTTCCAGGAGATCCCAGTGTGTCGCGCCTAAAGTATGCTGCAAACATAGAAAAACTAATGAGGTTTTTATTTAACTTCTTTTATAGTATTCTAAAGCCTGTTCCGTGAGCACGTAGAATTTTGTCCAATGACGCCAAGCTACCCATCCTTATAGCTCGCGCGGAATTATATTGCTGTCGCGACTGTGCGACGGGCGCCCGAAGTGAGTGTGCGAGCGCGACAGCAACATAATTACGCATGAGCGATAAGGATGGGTAGCTTGGGGTCATTGGACAAAATTCTACGTGCTCACGGACCAGGCTTTAATTAAAATCTTTATGGGTTTCGAGACAGTGTTTTCCCCGAGACTATACATCGTTTCATCCACGAAGACGCGCCCCACCGTTCTTCCGCTAATGTTTGAGTGTTATCGGTACACGCTAAATCATCCATGAGTGCACACGCACATTACAATAATGACGCTCGGATTGCTCGGATCTAACTCCCCGCACCCCGCGCTTTCCTCGACCAAAAATTGGTGGGGCGCGTCTTCGTGGATGAAACGATCTACATATACTTACTTAGCATTCACTGGTAGGGTTTCAGTAGTGGAAACGAGAGGTTTTTAGTACGTAAAGATAAATATTTATACAACAGCTTATAAGTTAAATAGAACAAAATAAATTCTAGTGTAAGACCTTTTTTTTTTTCAGGGAACACCTGATATCAGTAGCAAGAGCAATGGTAAGTACCTACCCTTTCCACCCAACAGATGGCGTTGTTACGACACACAAATTATTATTTATTTATTTAGAATTTACCGACGGGGACCGACGACCTAATAAAGGTAGCAGGAAGGCGCTGGATGCAGGCCGCTGCGATGTGGAAGTCATTGGGGGAGACCTATGTTCAGCAGTGAACGTCCTATGGCTGAAATGATGATGATGATGATGATGATTTAGAATTTATGATTACCTACTCTAGACTAATAATTGACATTACAAATTGTTTTCATTTCAGTAAGAAAATGCAAGTTCAGCAATGGCAGGGAGGGCTACTGCGTTAATCCAAACAGTTGTAGGAACAGAAAAATTATGGGAGGGTAAGTGTCACACTAACAACAGACATGATAGGTAAAGTCCGGTCGCCGAGCAGATAGAATTTCGTCCACTGACCCCACGCTACCCATCCTTGTTTGTTTATAAGAGATTAGATGTAATAAGAGATGAATCAATGTTTCGTATACTCTGTATCCTATTGTTTATGAATTTTTAACCGACTTCAATAAAAGGAGGAGGTTCTCATTTCGGTTGGTAAGTGGGTATTTTTTTTTTTCTATGACACCGATAACCGATTACGCCGAGATTTCTGATACGATTTACGTGATTCTTTTTTTTATTCGATGCGTAACGTAATACATAGTTGCCATTTGGCCCTATAAAAATTAATTTGGTTAAGACGTTTCTATTTTATGAGTTTTTCTACTTTTCACTTCTCTTTTTTTTATAGTTATTCCAGGACCATCACATCCTCGGATTGCTTGGAAACGGAAGTGTGCTGCGAGAAAGACCATGAAAATATCGAGTCTACCACAAAGTCACGGGTAAGAGTGAAAGAAAAAAGACAGAAAAATAGTTTATTGAAGGTAGCCTTTCGAACTGAGCATCTATAACTTTGGTCTTGTGCCAACGCCGCATTACTAACTCGCTTCGAAAGGCTACCTTTTACCAAACCAAAGCTAAAGTCAGTTTCAAGACAAGCCCTGGCGGTCTTGATGTACGCTGAGCGGGTGCCTTTTTGTCCGAGGGGCACAAGCTAATTGTCCACTTGTTTATTTCTATTTTTTTTTATCCACAACGAGGAAGCTCTTGGCCTGTATCTCACCTGATGGTAAGTGATGATCAGGCCGAAGGTGGAAGCGAGCTTCACCCGAAATCCTCAACCACGGAGGAACTGGCTATCTTACCTCTAACTGCCGGAACACAACAATGCTGTTAACATGGTTGTTATGGCGACAGACTTAGGTAAGATGGTGGTAGCTAGCCAGGCGGACTTAGAACAAGCCCTACCACCAACCAAACCGAACAGAAAAATCTGCCCCCACTGGGAATCGAACCCGGGACCTCTGCGTCTGAAGCAGGTGGTCTTACCACCAGACCACAGAGGCGGTTCTCTCTGTTTTAATCTATGTCTTGCCTGCTTGTATACCTTTCTTGCAAATAAAGGTTTTCTTTAAAAGACGCTGCGTCTGTGACGCTTAGTTCGAAAGGCTACCTTAAGTATGGACTTGGACGTGGTCGCTTACTTTGGGCCTCATTGAAGGCTCAAGGCTCACCTAAAGGGCGATGGAGCGTGATATGCTCAGAGTCTCTTAGAATCAGAAATGAGGAGATCCGCAGTAAACCAAAGTGACCAACATAACCCACTGGATTCCGGGTGAAGCTCGCTTCCACCTTCAGCCTGATCATCACTTACCATCAGGTGAGATACAGGCCAAGAGCTTCCTCGTTGCGAATAAAAAAAATCTAAAATAAATTGGCAGTAAGGCACATAGCTCGTAGAGCTGATGGCCGTTGGGGCAGAAATATTCTCGAGTGGCGACCACGTGGGCAGGCCTCCCACTAGTTGGACCCGCGATCTGGTGAAGGTGGCTGGTAGAACCTGGATGCGGGCAGCGCAGGATTGATGATTATGGAAATCCTTTGTCCAGCAGTGGATTTGGCTGAAACGACTACGATTCGAATTAGTTAAAAGACTCTTTCACTGTATTCAGTTTTTCTGATTAATTTCGTTGCGGGTCTAATGACAGAACTTTTCCCGAGACACACTTGGCCTTCAAATTCCAAACAGTAATTAACTAAAAATTTCCTTTTTAGACTTTGGTGCCTTCTATTCCAAAGAATCTACCCAATGGTAAGTGCTCACACATGTTCATACAGGTATAGTACAACCCGGTCGAGTTGGGCAGTTACCTGGCAGCCGTGACGTCACATCGACGTCACGGTGAGTGCTGATTTGATTTAGCTCGATCGGGTTGTAAGTTGTTATAAAGTCCGGTCGCCGGACAGATAGAATTTCGTCCAATGACCCAAGCTACCCATCCTTATCACTCGCGCGTAATTATATTGCTGTTGCGACTGTGCGACGGGCGGCCGCAGTGAGTGTGCGAGCGTTAAAGGATGGGTAGCTTAGGTCATTGGACGAAATTCTATATGCTCGGCGACCGGACTTTAGTTACATGAGCGGTTCTATTAATTACGTAATTAATTATCTAATTGTGTTTGGGTTTCAGGCGCACAATGTGAAGCCTACGACGGTAGTATCGGAAGATGCACTCTGCCTCACACCTGCAACAACGATAGCACCATCCTCGACGGCTCCGGGCTCATCGTGGAACGGTATTCTTCACGTCATCATCATATTCTAGGTGGACTGACGACCTGGTGGCTGGAAGAACCTGGATGCGGATGGATGGACCGGTCGTTATGGAAATCCTCTGTCCAGCAGTGGACGTCATTTGGCTGAAACGAACGAACGATCATCATTACATTATCATGATTGTCTCTAAAAGCAACAACGACACCACTATAGTTGATGGCTCCGGGCTCATCATCATCATCTATCATCATCATGACTACCAATGGCACGGGACCAGTGGATCTAGACAAATTGCAAATTATGATCGCAAACCAGTCGAAAAGTGATCGAAAAGCCCCTTTTTTGTATGGAGTTTTGACGGATTCGATTTTCGATTCGATCAAAAAGTGCGTTTTGTCTAGGGGGGCAGGTAAGTCTCACTGACGTTTGACGTTACCAATTTGTAACGTCAAACGTCAGTGAGACTTACCATTTGTATGCTCTGTTACGTCATAAATGTCAATGTCACCCCTCCCGTGCCGCTCCCTTACTGGTCTCAGTGGGTCTAGACAAAGTGCAAATAATAATTATAATCGCAAACCAGTCGAAAAGTGGTCGAAAAGCCCCTTTTTTGTATGGAGTTTTGACGGATTCGATTTTCGATTCGATCAAAAAGTGCGTTTTGTCTAGGGGGGCAGGACTGACCTAAGCTATGCGCTAGATCATCATTTCAGTCATAGGACGTCCACTGCTGAACATAGGCCTCCCCCAATGACTTCCACATCGCACGGTTGGCAGCCTGCATCCAGCGCCTTCCTGCTACCTTTATCAGATCGTCGTTCCATCTTGTGGGTGGACGTCACACGCTGCATTTTCCGGTATGTGGCCTCTACTTCAGAACCTTGCTGCCCCATCAGGGTCGTGGGTTCGATTCCCGCCTTAGACAGTTCGATTTTTTCAAGTCGTTAATTTAAAAATTGATTTGATGTAATATATTTTTGACAGCAAAGTCGACCCGTGCGGAGACTGGGGGAATGCCATACAAATATGCTGCCCAGCGAAGTACCTAGCGGGGAAAATACCAGATGTGAGTCACAGTCAAAAATGTTTTAGTACCTCCTTTTTCTATTTTACAAAATGAATTACGAGGGGTATTATAAAAATAATGAGAATGGGATATTTCTAGAGATCAAAAATATCTGAAAAAAAATTGGGTAGGTAGCTTAATTCTTCACTAGAATCTAGTAAAAAAATCTTTTTTTAAGTTTACCATTGCGTTTAAAAATTATATTTACCTGAGCACCCGCGAATTATATTTTCAATTTTTTTTTTGCGAAAAATGCTCCAAATAAAAATAATTAAGATAAAGTTGTATTGTTCTCTATAAAAAAAATGATACTGTTCACAAAGACACCCTGTATAAACCTGGTAGGTTTGAATTTTCCACATGATACTTTATGCCAATTTGTTACTTTACAGATTGAAGCAACTACCGTATTGACTAAAAGCAGGTCAATGGACGACGAGGAGGAAAGTAGGTATCACACTAATATTAGCTCCTTGGAAATTAGCGTTTTTTTCTTCAATATTCATTAGTATACAGTGTGTTGATTTCAACCTCGCCATATTTATTAAGGTGATATAAACGTAATTCACCAAAAAAAAAATACTAACGATTTTCCGTGCGACATCAACTGTACTGTGTGTGGCTCGCAATAAATAAATAAATAAATAAATATCCTTGGAAATTTTACACTGCGCTTCTAAAGCCTGGTCCGTGACCCCAAGCTGCCCATCCTTGTCGCTCGCACGTAATTATTATGTTGCTGTCGCGCTCGCACACTCACTGCGGGCGCGCGTCGCACAGTCGCGACAGCAATATAATTACGCGCGAGCGATAAGGGTGGGTAGCTTGGGGTCATTGGACGGGATTCTACGTGCTCACGGACCAGGCTTTAACCCAAACCACACAAACTAAGCAAAGCTTGTACTATGGGTATTAGACAACGGATATAAACATATTTAAATAGTTTTTTTTTTGTAAATACATACATATTATACATAGAAAACACCCAGTCCAATACAAACAAATATGTTCATGCACACAAATGTTTGTACTGTGCGGGAATCGAACCCGCAACCTCCGGTATAGTAGTCCGCTTCGAACCACTACACCAAACGGCCGACAATACTGCAATACGTTTACACTGCGGCATCATCGAGCTATGCGGATTGCTCGCTTATCATGTCGGATAGCCTACTGAAGGAAGCCAGGTAAAGTAGGTAGTGTAAATATTATTAGGTAATTTTCTTTGAATTTTAATTGAATCAGTAAAATAATTGATTAATTAACTCTCTAAATATGGCCAGTATTGAAATCAACAGCCTGTATAATAGCTACGTTCATCATACTTTTTTATTTGATATTTGATTTCAAGGACTTACTTTTACGTATGAATTATTTAACTAATTTAATTATAGGCGTGGGTCACAGTCACGGCATATGCTGAGTGGGGTCCCATTGCGATGCCGATGGGCATCGATGTGCGACAAGGTGGCACTGCTCAGTTTCTTCCATTATACAGGATGTTACTTTGCATTCTTGCCATATTCACAGAGATAAAGTAGGGAACAATACCCATTATTTTAGATACAAGAGACTCAAAAATTAAATTTTAGGACATTGTTTTTTTACTGATTTGTGTTCAGTGTCATTCATAAATATCTCGTCCTTACCTCCGTCCTTACCGTAAATATGGCAAGAATTTAAAGTGTATGTTTTATGTGTTACCTCTGTTTTTTTCTCCTTTGTCTTTTGTGATGTCCATTGCAATTTTTGCAATAAATGTTTCATTATTTATTTATTTCAGAAGATAGCAGTTGTTTAACGGGGGCCGACAATGCAGGCAAATGTGTGCCTTTTCATCACTGTGAGGACTATGACGGCGCTGACCTTCTAGATAAAAGGTAAGGCAGATAGTCATAGTGCAATATGAGGGTAGTTGAAAATTTTCAAGCCCGCCCGAACGGACGCGACGCCGCGAGCCGCCAGTCTGCTTGTGACCACGGCTGCAGCATCGCAGCCGAAACGTCAAGCCGTGAGTACATATTGGAACTCGTTAATAAACGTCGCGTTACGAGTAAGACCCGTGTCTTACTATTTTAGATAGAGCTCGTTCCCATTTCAATCCAGTTTTAAAGGGGTGTAGTGTGAGTTTACGTCAAACGCATTCGATGTCGACGGATTGTACAGCGCCCTTAGCGGAAAATTTCAAGAACTAAAACCTGCATATACAGGGTGGAAACGATAAGTGATCTCACTCGATTATTTTTACACAAGATATGGAACTATACAAGATATGGAAAATCTGGTTACTGATCTTGAAATCTGAGCTCTTAAAAAACGGTACTAATAATATGTTAGAGAATAAACTGGATCTATCTAAAAATTCATTGTTTTAACATACAAGGGGGTGATTTAGATACACCTTGATGTAAGGAATCTAAAATTTAGCTTTGAACGTCAACTCCCTGGACACCCTGTATTAAAAAAACATTCATTCATTAATTCTAGTTAATATTTCAGGACAATGCGTTACTGCCCTGCTTTGACAACTTGCTGCGAATTGGACAGGATTAATATGGAGTCTATTCCAACGAATGTTAAGAAGGAGGTACCAATTTACTTCATTACTTGCTCACGAAGTTACTAGTTTCTAGTCATGCCAATGTGTGAAGAAAGAGTTTTCGTATAAAGTCCGGTCGCAGAGCTGATAGAATTTCGTCCAATGACCCCAAGATACCCTTCCTTATCGCTCGCGCGTGATTATATTTGCTGTCAAGAGTCGCGACTGTGCGACTGGCGGCCGCAGTGAGTGTGCTTGCGTGACAGCAACATAATTACGCGCGAGCGATAAGGAGGGGTAGCTTGGGGTCATTGTATGAAATTCTATCTGCTCGGCGACCGGACTTTATAAGAAAATACCTTTTAACCTGTGACTAATTTCAGGGTTGTGGAGTGGCGAACCCAGACGGACTGTGGCCAGCCTTTAAGACATCCTTTTTAGAAGCAAAATTCGGCGAATTCCCTTGGGTAGCTGCTGTTATGTATGTTTTGATGTTTTTGCTTATTATTATCAATTAGTAAGACGTATTCATTTAGCTTAGGCGCAGACTACCTATTTTTAGTTGGCCAATAGTTGGGTCGGGCTGTTAATCAATATGGAGATGTATCAAAGTGTGCACATTACACCGATATTCATATACCTACATTAAAATCGGGCCCAACTATCGGCCAACTAAAAGTCGGTGGTCTGCGCCTAGGCATAATAATATGACATAATAATAATGACAAGATAGTGGAGACAATAATATTTTTATGATCAGCCAAAACGTGACATTTCCATAGATTTTGTATGGCAGTAGCGTCATCAATAGGTCTAGGATGTGCGTCACGATAAACTTTTATCGAGATATTTTATCGATTTTACACGATAAACCCATACATTTGTCGTCTAAAATCGTCGATAAGATTTTATCATGGCGCGCATCCTAGCCCGGCTGATCTAGTCTCCACTACAGAAGCACAGAAGGACGATCCTTACTATTTCTCTATTATAATAATTGGTCTCACAAGCTTAACATACAGCCAGAGTGGAGGTGATCCTATTCTACTTCTCCGAAATTACACGATTCATCTCAAGTACTTAAAAAAATATCGTTTATTTCACCAACAAACAGGTATAGATCCACGAAGACGCGCCCCACCAATTTTTGGTCGAGGTTGCGCGGGGCTCGGGGAGTTTGATCCAAGCAAACCGAGCGTCACAACACAATCACTCATGGATAATAATTAGCGTGTACCGATAACACTCAAACATTAGCGGAAGAATGGTGGGGCGCGTCTTCGTGGATGGAACGATCTATACTCACAATAATCTGAGGCTGGAGCCTACCTAGTAAGTCTAAGGATATACCTGTCACAGGAGGCCCCATTGTCTTCTTATCATCATTTTGGCTAGCAGACTGCGAACTGACCTAGCTCACTGTGACATTAGAATGTAAATCGCCTTTAAACCTGTCTGATCAACAGAAGGGCGCGCAATCCTCATCACGCATTGGTTCCCGCTGAAAAACTGGCATGACGTTTGTGTCATGTCGCGATTTTTGCTGAGCGGGCGCCTGTTCGGCATATTTTTATTTTAAGCTAAATGTCGACCCTTGCTGTGCTGAATAAAGACTTTCTTATTCTTATTTTAAATCCGCCAGGACCAAGACCTCCTCTTTCCCTGTGAATCGAAACATCACGGTGGGATCCCTGATACACCCCTCTATGGTGCTCACGGTAGCTCACTACGTGGACCGAGCTGTGGACGGTGACGTCATTGTGAGGGTAGGAGAGTGGAACACCCTGGATGTAAACGAACCGCTTCCGCATGAAGAGGTGGCGGTGAAGAAAATTGTCATCCATCCAGACTTTATGAGAAGTAAGTTTGAGGAACAAGCGATTGGTGTGTGGCTGTGTATCAGTTTTATATGTAAGACGAGCGGCCGGCCGCGACTTCGTACGCGTGGATCCCATTTCACCCTCTTATGGGTTGAATTTTGCAAAATCCCGTCTTAGTGAGCACCTACGATCTAAAAGGAAACCCCTTGCAATATTTAAGACTCCTAGCACTTGTAGTTTCTGAGATTTCGTGATGAGTGAGTCAGTGACATTAAATTTCGCTTTTATAGATTAGAAGATAGATTCATCCTGTCAATGGTGCTATAAAGTAGTAGTAGTACAGTTCGCGAGGCGAAAGATGAGCTTTGCATTTTTGTGAATGATCGGTGATCACCAAAAGTAGAGTCAGACTTTTATAAATCGCATAAAAGTTTGTAGTGAAAAAAAAAATTATACCTAGTTACCTACTAAGAATTAAGCTCATCACGCTGCTACTAACAGTACAAGAGGTGAAGTGGACTTGCGTCTCAGATCGATCTGAGGCGCAATTCTGTCACAATATTTTTTAGTTACGAGTGATTTGTGCAAAACTGTTATTCTTAAAAAAATCTTCGCAGAGAACTACCGGAACGACATCGCCCTGCTGATCCTTGAGCACCCAGTAAAGCTGGCTCCGCACGTCAGCCTGGTCTGTCTGCCGGAGCCGGGAGCGGTGCCGGCTCCGGACACCGACTGCGTTTCCAACGGCTGGGGCAAAGACGCGTTCGGGAAGAAGGGAGCCATCTCCAGCTACCTTAAGAAGGTACGTTCGTTTCAGCCCAACGACGTCCACTGTTGGACAAAGGTGGACAAAGGCATCAGTGGCAGTGGGCAGGGAATATAGTACGCAGAACTGACGGCCGATGGGGCAGCAAGGTTCTGGAATGGAGGCCGCGTACCGGAAAACGCAGCGTGGGACGTCCATCCACAAGGTGGATCGATGACCAGATAAAGGTAGCAGGAAGACGCTGGATGCAGGCCGCTACCAACCGTGCGGTGTGGAAGTTATTGGGGGAGGCCTATGTTCAGCTGTGGACGTCCTATGGCTGAAATGATGATGATGATGCTGATCAACGGCTGGGGCAATGACGCGTTCGGGAAGAAGGGAGCCATCTCTATCTACCTAAGAAGGTACGTTCGTTTCAGCCCAACGACGTCCACTGTTGGACAAAGGCATTAACAGCTGGGGCAAGGACGCGTTTGGAAAGAAGGGAGCCATTTCTAGCTACCTTAAAAGGGTTCATTCTTTTCAACCACTATTGCACAAAGGCATAATTATCTTTTCTTAAGCTTCAAACCTCACCAACGCGTGCAGATCACCATCCGCCATCTGATCGTGGTGGGTTGGTGTGAAATTGCTAAAACCAAGTGGCAGTGGCGGGGCACATAGCTTGCAGAGCTGATTGCCGCTGGGGCAGAAAAGTTCTCGAATGGCGACCACGGGCCGGAAGACTTAGTGGGCTCCCACTAGGTGGACCGACGATCTGGTGAAGGTCACGTGAGGTGCCTGGATGCGGTAAAAAGATTATGAGACATCCTTAAAGCTTCAACCACACCAACGCGTGCAGAACGCCATCGCCGGCGCGATCAAAGGCCAATGACAGGTCGCGCGACCCATGTCAGTTCACGCGATCTGTCATTTCCTTATGATCGCACAGTGACCGCGCCGGCGATGGCGATTTGCACGCGTTGGTGTGGTCGATGCATAAGAGCATAGATTTTTTCTTTTTAAATATTTGTCGATTTGTAAGTTCTAGGTACACTAAAACAGTATAATGCAAATAAAATTTGACTTTGACCCTTTCTTCCAGGTGCCCCTTCCATGGGTGGAGCACGGCGATTGCCAGAACCGCCTCCGCACCACCCGGCTTGACTCCTTCTTCGAACTGCACGAAGGATTCGCTTGCGCGGGCGGCGACAAGCTCGACACTTGCAGCCTGGATGGAGGAGGCCCTCTGGCCTGCCCGTCAGAGGTAAAAGAACTCACAAAACTCATTTATTTTAGCAAACAGACTTTTAAAAAGCACTTTTACACGTCCCAGTATTAACCCTTACCACTGCTTCGGGACAATAAATGTTATTTACCAGCAAATGGGGCGGCCCTAGGGGGCAAGTCGTACCAATAGAGTTTTAAAGATCGTTTCATCACGAAGACGCGTCCCACCAATTTTTGGTCTCGGTCGCGCGGTGTGCGGGGAGTTTGATCCGAGCAATCCGAGCGGCATTATTGTAGTATGCGTGTACACTCATGGATAATTTAGCGTGTACCAATAACACTCAAACATTAGCGGAAGAATGGTGGGGCGCGTGTTCGTGGATGAAACGATGTAGGTATACCTAGTGGAATACTTAGAGCAACAAAGAACTAAGCGAGCGAGTTGTCATTGGCAGCAACACTGTGTCAAACAGAACCATTTTTGCAACTATTCGGCAGTTCAGAAGCACTTAGTGGCACGCTGAAAATTTGAACTCTGAGATATTTTCAGATTTTACGTAAGTGAAATCTAGGATGTTTATGAGAAATAGTGCTTCAGAAACGCGGTGACTGCTTCAGTGATTGATTGGTACAAAACAGTGAAATAATCCTGAATCCTGACACTAACACTTAAGATATCCAGCGTCATCCAAAATCGGTTTAACAGCTCGTGGTTGATGCTCTATTTCAAAGGAATATTATTAACGTTATGGTGGAAACCGGGCCTTATTCAAAACACTTCTTTGCTCCGCCTTGGTGGACACCGTGTCTCAAAAACCTAAAGCAACCCGCATTTATGCATTAATTTTCTTCTCCAGAGCGACCCGGGCAGATACATCCTGTACGGGGTGGTGTCCTGGGGCATAGACTGCCATATGCCCGGGATCCCCGGGGTCTACATGAATGTGGCACACTACCGAACCTGGATAGACCAGGTTATGGAAACTGAAGGAGTGTGAAATAAATAATGTAAACTGTTTTGGACCGTTTCATTTTTCCTGAATATTAAAGTTTAAATTTGCACGGGCTATGCTCGGTGTTTCTTTACGAGATCGAATCAGAAATGAGGAGATCCGAACGAACCGTAAACGATCTAAAGTCGCTGACATAGCCCGACGGATTAGCAAGCTGAAGTGGCAATGGGCAGGACATAATTAGTACGCAGAACTGACGGCCGATGGGGCAGCAAGGTTCTGGAATGGAGGCCGCGTACCGGAAAACGCAACGTGGGTCCACCCACAAGGTGGACCGACGACGTCATAAAGGCAGCGGGGAAGCGCTGGGCGCAAGCCGCTACAATCGATCAACATGGAAAGCATTGGGGGAGGCCTAGTTCAGCAGTGGACGTCCTATGGCTGAAATGATGATGGTGGTCTGTGGTTGAAGATTCCTGGTGAAGTTATTTTCCTTTGACCTTTGAAGTATGTGACACTTTAACTCCTTTAAAAAGAATCTATACTATCTATCTATTATATAAAAGAAAGTCGTGTTAGTTACTCCACTTATAACTCAAGAACGGCTGAACTGATTTAGCTGAAAATTGTCAGGGAGGTAGTTTAGAGCCAGGAGAAGGACATAGGATACTTTTTGTCCCGTTATTTATTGCCATTAAGGCGGAACAAAGTTCGCCGGGTCAGCTAGTAACATTATAAATGCAAAAGTAACTCTGTCTGTCTGTCTGTCTTGTTTTCACGCCTAAACCAGTGAAGCGATTTTGATGAAATTTGGCATAGAGATAGTTTGAGTCCCGGGAAAGGACATAGGATAGTTTTTATCCTGGATTTTGAAACAGGGACGCGCGCGATAAAGTTTTTCAGCGACAGACAAAATTCCACTGGGCGAAGCCACGGGTGGAAAGCTATTATTAAATAAAATTGAATGTCTGGAGCCATAAATGCATCAAAAATAATGTTTGTTTATGTATGTATGTTTTATTTTTAGGGTTGTCAACACTTTATTGCCTAAATGGTAGCAAAAGTTTCATTAATTTTGGGACACCCTTTACTATAGATATAACTTCTACAAGACTGACTCGCTTTGGTAGGTTTTTATTTCGAAACTGCGAACTGCTTGAATAAAATTGTCACTTTTATTATTTTAATTAAACAGACCCTAATAACCTCTTACTTGCAATAATTGATAACTAAGTATAAACACGTCCACTCATACACTATCTCTAGGAAAATACGCCGAGTACAGTGACCACACTATGTAGAAATCGTCGGGACATTTAAATACCTACCTGAAATTGACGATGCTTTCTTCAATATTCGAGAATTTATTATATTAGTTATCTAATTTCAACCAAATTTCAGATTAAGTGGACCGACGACCTCATAAAGATAGGAGGAAAGCGCTGTATACCAACCGGGCGATGTAGAAATCATTGGGAGAGGCCTATGTTCAGCAGTGGACGTCCTGTGGCTGAAATGATGCTGAAGATGAACCAAATTTCGTCCACTGCTGGCCAAAGCCTCATTTTATACGAGATCACTGATCGCCTATGCTTAAAAAAACATACATACAGGCGAACATAGAACCTCCTTTTTTGAAATCGGTTAAGAAGTAGCATGGTGCTGTAACCCTAAGGGTGTCCCCATTGTGGTAAAGAAAAACTTTCTACATGGAACAATTTTACAACAAAAAAGTAAGGTTTTATTATTTTACAATATTTCTGATCGTGTGGACATCCTTTTGGTATCAATATGTCATCTTTAAAACGGCTTATGACCACATTTATTTAATACAAAACCATAAAATATGTTATTTCCATTTATCCTCTACATAGAGATATTATTATTTACTTGTGTAATGTTATTTTAAAACATAATAGGCATTATACATGTAATTTATCTCTGTACATAAAGGAAAAGCATTACTTAGTGAACTGTGCAAGCAATATGAAGCAATATGTGAGTTATTTTGTTTATTATTTTAATTATTTAAAACATTGTTAATAAATTAATGTATGTTTAGCTGTAATAAGTCAATTTTGATATTGTATTGTCTGTGCCTATTACGGGGGAGGCCTATTCAGCAGTGGACGTCCTGTGGCTGAAATGATCATGAATGATGATGATTACAAAATAAAACTTAAAACTCGATTCTTTAAAAAATCATCATCATCATCATCATCAGTGGCGTAGCTAGGTAACCAAAGGCCCTGGGGTAAATAAAAAAAAATGGGACCCCACTGCAATCTAAGCTGATTAGGTTTTATCAAATTTATTGACATTAAGCTCTCCTGATACAGCTTTCGAATTTTCTCTATTTTTTTTGAAAATGGGAAAAATTTTCTAAGTTCAGTTCAATTTAGATTTTCTGGTAAGGATTCGGGGGCCCTTGAGCTTGGGGGCCCCGGGGCACTGCCCTGCCTTGCCCCTTAGTAGCTACGTCCCTGTTCATCATCAGTACCAACCACCATTTTTTAAATAAAAATGTTAGCAATATGTACTGCACAAATTACTAATAGTCCCGTTAGCCCCTGGTACTAAGCTAAATGCTTGTTCCACGAGTGGGCTCACCAAAATAGCAAGCGGCGGGGTTCGAACCCGTGTTCCTTCAGATGTCGAGTAGGCCCCCGGTGCTCCATCATTCGCCTTAAGTGGGAAGGAACTGTGGGATTCCGGACAAAGCCTTCACTACCACAGTCCCTCCCGGCGATTGCCCGCCTACACGGCGGGCCCTACAAGCCCCCCAGGGGGGCGGGGGGGCGACGGGAGCAGCTAGGAGCACACAGCTGTTCCCGTCCGACAGTATGTCGAGCTATCGTGGCTACTAAAACATTACCTTCATCATCAAACCAGGGTCGTGGCCTTCCTCACGGTGGGCCTCGGCATATGCCGAGTGGGGTTCCATTGCGATGGGCATTGCTATGCGACAGGGTGGCACTGCTCAGTTCACTTTCTCTTCCATTGTATGTTTTATGTGTTACCTCTTTTTTTTATTTACCTCTTTTGTCTTTTGTGATGTCCATTGCAATGAATGTTTCTTTCTTTCTTTCTTCTTTCATCATCACCATCGGTTGTTCACCTCAGATACTGGTGCTCGCTCTAGCGGTGAGCTGCCAAGCCTTCTTCAAGCCAGGAGCTCAGGCTCCGATGGAAGATGAGCAGGTGGACGAGGATTACATATTCAGGGATGATGAAATCACTGAGATCGGTAAGTTTGAAGAGAGCACATCAGTCTGTCTAGTGCAGGATTTCCCATTTTTTTTTGCCAAGGAACCCTAATTGATTATACTTTTCCTAGCGGAACCCCCGTACTAATTCGCCCGCACGCCCTGCCCCTCCCTTGTGCGTAAACAAGTCGGTGCGAGCGAACAACGTCGGTCACGAAACGTGGGATAATATTTTTTACGGAACCCTTGCGGCCTTTCTACGGAACCCCAGGGTTCCGCGGACCACCATTCGGGAACCGCTGGTCTAGTGTATACGGGGTAGAATTTTGTAATGCCACCCGTATTCACAAACGATACTTGATTAAGCGAAGCAGCAAATCGAAAGCACGGCGTTAAATAGAGCTCTGTGATTGGTTCGTGTGTCACCCTGTGCGTCCACGCGCACTGTGAGACCTCATAGTAACGTTTGTGAATACAGGCGTTAGTATTGTAGATAGATTTACTCAAAAAAATATTCCTTCATTTCTTAAAAGAAAATGAACTGCATTCAAAGATTTCCGAAAATTCTCTCGCCACACCCGGGAATCGAATCGAATAAAATGTGTTAAAAATGACATCCTGTATTTTATTGCATCGATCGGTAGGGTATAAGGACGAAATCTCAATCTCTCTAACAAACTTGATAAACGAAATGAAAGGAAAGCAATGAAATCTTACATTATTTTAATTTTATCAGTAATGTACTTATGACAAACATTGGTATGGAAAGATGGTGATTTTTTATTTCGGAATTTTTTGAATGCAGTTCATAAGGGTGAAAAGGGGGGTGGGAAATAGTTTGAGACTAGGGTTTCTGATTTCTCGACCTATTTTTTTTCTCGAGTTTCGGGAATTCTCGAGGCGAAAGTCTCGAGTTTTCTTGGGTCTCGAGTCTTTAAATTAAAACTGTTGAAATCGGTTGAAATTTAATAAAAACACAAGTTTTTTAATCTAATATACCTACTTTAATGCACAACAATCAATATTAGAATTTAGTACCACTTATTTTGGTAAGAAAACAAACAAAAAATGAAATCTTCTTCCATAATTAATATTAACTAATAATCATAACTTAGTTATTAACTAAAGGAACAAAAGTCATAAAGTCGCGTGTAGTTTAAGTTTAAATAACAATAAAAAATCTGGAGCTACAATTGAATTACTTGTTTTCCAAAGGACACAAGTCCAAATAGCAAAATTACGATAAATAGTTTTTTTTTATAAACAAAAAAAAAACACTTTTTAATATTTTTTTAAATTTCTTTAGGATAACGACTTGAATAAACTTTACGAGGAGGCACGAGTACCTAACCTAACAGACAGTTAATAAATTTTTCGGTCTTTAAATCAGTCAGAGTTAAACATACATACATAATAAATAGGTATAGCATACTCGTAGGTAAACATTATTACTTAGTTTCGATTGAGATCATTAATTGCAAATAAAATCAGTTAAAAAAGGAAGACTAGGCCAGTCTAAAAGCAACGTTAACCTATTAAATAATTAAAAACTTACTTTTGTCTAAGAAAACAGGCTTTCAAGACTATTAAAGCTTCAAAATCGAAACTCGAGAATTCTCGAGCTCCGGTAATTTTTTTCTCGTCTCGAGTGAAGCCAAATTTCTCGAGTTTTCTCGAGTTCGAGAAGGCTCGAGCAGAAACCCTATTTGAGACCCATGGAAAAATAGCAAATAGTTTTACGTACATTTCAAAAGTAAAGATAGTAGTTATTTCTTTGATATACTGAAATTCACACGGACGATAAGCTGTTGGCAAAAGAGATTTGCAAAGTCCCATAAGGGCATCCTTTTCTTATTACTATTCAACGTTCATCATAATTGTTTTTTGTATAAATTTGAATAAAGATAATATTAGTTTAATAATTGTTTTGGTTAAAACATTTTCTTTCTTCTTTCTTTCTTTCTTAGTAGCTAGATAGGTACCTACATATTTATTTCATGAGTAACTCAATACTACTGTTTATAACGTTCTTTTATTTCCAGCACCAATCGTCCCGAAGTCTTCTACGGGCCAACAGGTAAGTGCGAAAGTTTAAAAAAAGGACAATGTTATATTTTTTAGAGAAAGAGCATTTCTATGTAATATACTAGTAGTCCTTACGAATGATACTAGGTACAGGACAGACCGAGCATTGTTTGATAAAATTCGAGTTGTTACAACCGCGTACCCAGTACCTGTACCTTACAAACTTTCAAGAAGAGAGGATACATCTCAAATGACAACAACGCGCTTGTAAATACGTCATATTTGAATGGTCTATGCAAATAAAGAAATTTTGACTTTGAATTTGAATAAAATAGTAGGGTAGGGTATTAAGAATTTCTTTATTCATTTAACATTTTAAATTATTTACAGAAATGTGGAGTGCGTCACAATAAAGGCGAATTCCGAATCGGTGGTACAACGAAAGCTTTGTTCACTGAATTCAACTGGGTAGTGCCGATCATGGAGTAAGTTTTTCTTCACTACAAGGAAGCTCTTGGCCTGCCTAACCTGATGGAAAGTGATGATCAGGTCGAAGGTGGAACCGAGCTTCATCCAGAATCTACGCTTGTTCCAAGTCCGCCTGGCTAAGTGGTAGCACAGAAAAAGTAATAGTACAGGTACAGAAGGATTACTCCGCAAGACGATTTAAATAAATGCGAGTCTTGCTACGACGCGATACAGTGGAATTCAGCTCGCACAGCACTACGTACCTACAATTTTATTCACCTACAAGTTTTGTCTCTTTCTATCGCGTGCCTCTGAACTCTTCTTACGCTGTTAGGGTTGCTGTCTAGTGAAAAAATAATTAATCTAGTTACTTATTTGTAATGAGGTACGTATGTAGGTAAGTATGCATTCATTATGGAAAACCTTGGGAGAGGCCTTTGTCCAGCAGTGGACGTCATTTGGCTGAAACGAACGAACGCATTCTGAGCAGTAGTCATAGTAGGTTAGGTTCCTATACTATCCTAAGAATTATCGATTACCTACATGGCCAACATACCTTTCAGCATCTTTGGGAAGCGAAAAAAAAAAGATAAATCCGGTAGATTTCTTTTCGAATTTAAACACCCGAACGCCGCACAATATTTCTTTCTCTGTATGTCCATTTTTAAATAATACTTCGATCATTAGAATTATAATCATACTACAACGCACGCCAGCGTCCTGACGGGCGCGCGCGTGACACTCGACTGATATAATACCCGCCGGCGGGGCGCTTCGCTGTAGGTAATTATCGGGTGTACCGCGCGGAGTGAGCCAGGCCTGGTGGTAGCTAGTCTTCTATCGTTCCATCCACGAAGACGCGTCCCACCAATTTTTGGTCGAGGGAAGCGAGCAATCCGAGCGTCATTATTGTAGTGTGCGTGTGCACTCATGGATAATTTAGCGTGTACCGACAACACTCTTAACATTAGCAGAAGAATGGTGAGTCTTCGTGGATGGAACGATCACCTAAGCCTGTCGCCATTACAACAATGTTCACAGCATTGCTGTATTCCGGCAGTTGGAGATAAGATATCCAATTCCTCTGTGGTTAAGGATTCCAGGTGTCACTTTCCACCTTCGGCCTGATCATAATTTTCTATCAGGTGATGATCCGACCAAGAGCTTCCTCGTTTTACAGTTTTTCCTCAAGGATTTCCACAACTGTCCTCCACCCGCATCCAGGCTTTTCCCGCACTTTCACCAGGTCGTTGGTACACCGAGTAGGGCCTGTCTAAATTACGTCTTCCAGGCAGTGGGCATTTGAGAACATTTCTACCCCAACGCCAAAGTTTGACAATTCTGCTGCGGGCTATTTCGATCTCTTTGGTCTTTCTAAGGGCTTACAACGCAGCGTCGTCTCCACAAGGAATGATGGACGACCTCATAAAGGAAGCAGGAAGGCGCAGGCCGCTACCAACCGGTCTATTTGGAAATCATTGAGGCCTATGTTCATCAGTTGACATCCTGTGGCTGAAATGAGATGTCAATTGAAAAGCCACGATAGCCGAACGGTGAAGGGATCGGACTGGCCGACTCGTGATCTGTGAAACGTGGGTTCGGTCTCCGCCGCTCGACTATAATTGTGGTGAGCTCACTAGTGACTCAAGCATATTTAGCTTAGTACACAAGGGGCTAACGGGACTATTAGTAATTTATTATTGCTCAAATTACTAAACAATCTTAAAAAAACTTTATTTTTTTAGAGTCCTCTGGAATGGCACCGAAGAGTACGTCTGCGTGGGCTCCCTCATCCATCCAGAGGTCGTGATGACTGTCGCCCACTACTTCACGGCTAAAAAGAACCTCATCATCAAGGCTGGGGACTACGACATCAGCCACACCAAGGAGAGACACCCGCATCAGGTCCGGGACGTCTCCAGCGTGAAACTGCACCCGAAATTCAAACTGGGTATGTTTCTTTAAAATACCAAGGTTTTTCATCGCTTGCAGTGTAGGACATAATTCTGAGACGAAGACGCGGACGAACGTCCATTGTCCAAGGACAATAGCTCGCGGCTCCGTTTCATTTGACACCTTTTAGATGAGGCCCCGCCCATCTGGCAGGGAGAATCCAACATACAACTCGGTTGAATTAACTGCGCACCGGCAAATGCGGCGAGGTGCGCAGTTAGCTCGATTGGGTTGTTAGTAGCCCACTCACTGGCCATCCCAATCGGCCAGTGTGACAGAAAAGGTAACTTTAAGTTCATAGCAGACTTATAAACTCGGGAAGGGATCAACACCGTATCGCCTTTCGCGAGCTGTCATTGCCTTACGCGCGCTGTCAACCGCGAGGCGAGGCATTTACGTTTTGGTGCGGATAAGTGTGCGTTGCAATTGGAGTTTCATACAAATTATATTGACCGCCTCGAGTTGATACGGTTACGATCCCTTTCCGGGTCGATAAGTGTGCTTTTTTTGTTTTTTATGCTAGACAAGGCAGGTATTTGACCGCAATCGCAGCTGGTGTTAAGTGAGATGCAGTCTAGGATAGTACATATCTGCCCTGTAAGTGCTCCTTAAAACTAAAGACTTCTTCTTTCCAGGGACCCTCAAATACGACATCGCTCTGTTGTTTCTCTCAACCCCGGTGAACCCCGCCCCACACGTTGGGTTCGCGTGTCTCCCGCCCGCCCTATCCATGACCCCAGCCGACACCGCTTGCTACGTCACCGGCTGGGGCATGGAGACCTATGATAAGAATGGAGAGATCTCGCATGTTTTGAAAAAGGTATGTGAATACTATTGGGTGGATCATCATCATCATCATTTCAGCCATATGATAGATAGATAGATATATGGTTTATTTGCAAAACACATTGACACACAAGAAGCAAAAAGTAAGATTAATAAATAAACACAGGAGTAGCAGGAAAGATATAGTAGGTACAGTCGCGGAATGAAAAGGTTCGTCACCTTAGGCCCGGTTTTTTGATTCGTAGTTAAAATAACCAATAGTCAAATTTGACAGATGTCAAATGACAAGTGGTTAAATATCAGAAAAAAATGTTTTTCGAACACAAGCTTGACTTTTAGTACATTTTTTAACTATTCGTTAACATTTTGTTAATATTTAACCATTAGTAGCAAAATTTAACAATTAGTTATTTTAACTATGAATCAAAAAACTGGGCCTTAGTGTCGGTTTTCGCTTGCACTAGGTACTGTAAGAGTCAAACCTGCCAACATAACCGTGCAAGAAACATTGCTGCTAACATTTAAATAAATATGACGTTTGCTAACGAATAAGGTTTTGCTTGTTTATTTTTCTATCCCATCAGTGCAATGTCACAAAATGTAGTTTTTTTTATTTAATAGATAATGGCAGGTTGAACCAACAAGAAGGTTTTAGTTTATCAATCATAATAATCTTCTTGACAAGTTAAATTGTCAAACAACTTTGATCTGAATAATTTTGAACTTTACTGACGAACAGTTAAAGATTATTTTCTCTTAACTCGAGATTATTCTGTAACATAGTTTCAAAAGGTAATAACTGCTCGCGATTCGTTGAAGGAATCAATTTGAAAACTGACGAACCTTTTCATTCCGTGACTGTACATTACAAAGAGTAAGAAAGAAAATCCTGCGCTAAGGTATGTAAGTGTGCCGCAGCGATGCAAAACAGCAGAGAGCTCAGTGTAGAAGACACTGCTCTAAAATGAGCAGAACACTGATTTTCAGCTCTCGCTTGAAAAAAAGAAGGAAGACGCACGAGAATGGTAGAGAATAAGGTGGTGAAAATGTTGTACTATTGTAAACCTACATAAATATCAGAAATTAGGGAAATATAATAATTATAACTATTGTTCTTATATGGTTTATACATATATATACTATCTGTCTATGGAATAGGAGTATGAGACTTAATAGTGTAAATGGAGAAATTAGTTATAAGGTTTATATCAATAATTTACATGGCTGAAATGATGATGACGATGAATATAATATAATATTTTAACATTAATAAGTAATACAAAATAATGAGGCATTCAGTGTGCAGGTGTATGATAATGATATACCTACATTTATGTTTATGAGTAATAAAATTAATAAATGAAATCATATCCACTCAAGCCATCACAGGCTATCTCCGCCTCCCAGGCACAAGTGCTTTAGGCAACTTAATCCGCGTCATTTCCTTTTGTGCATCAAGTATAATTGTTTTAAATTTTGATTTAAGTGTTCTTACAGTGAATGCGTCTAAGAGGGGGGGGGGAGTCATTCCAACACCTAAAGCCTGGTCCGTGAGCACGTAGAATCCCGTCCAATGACCCCAAGCTACCCATCCCTATCGCTCGCGCGTAATTATGTTGCTGTCGCGCTCGCACACTCACTGCGGGCGCCCGTCGCACAGTCGCGACAGCAACATAATTACGCGCGAGCGATAGGGATACTTGGGGTCATTGGACGGGATTCTACGTGCTCACGGACCAGGCTTTAGTTGATAGCCGATATGACGTCTATAGGCATTCCCCAATGATTTCAACAATGGCCGGTTGGTGGCAGCCTGCATCCAGCGCCTTCCTGCTACCCTTATGAAGTCGACGGTCCACCTTGTGGGTGAAAGTCCTACGCTGCGCTTTCCGAGAACCCATTGTAGCTGAAAGGTGAAATGGAACGGACTGGCCAATTCGAAGAACAAGGGTTTGAACCTCGCCGACGCTCGACTATTGTGGTTTTTATTACCGGTCAAGCTGTAAATCCTGGCAACACAGGAGTTGCAGTGGTGGGAACGAGAGGTGGGAAGAGTACGGTATTTTTTATGCATACAAGGCAGGTATTTGACCGCAATCGCACCTGTGAGATGCAGTCTAGGATGGTACATANCTTCAGTCTTCTCTGTAATTGCCTATTCACTCTCGCCTTGAAAAGGCTCGGATTATAGTGTCCAGGAAAGACAGCAACAGGCAGCGAATTGCAGTCCCTAGCTGGTCGCATTATAAAAGAGTTATGGTGAGTTCACTCGTTAACAAGCATATTAATTTAGCTTAGTACGAGGGGCTAACGGGACTATTAGTAATTTGAAATACAAATCTTTAAAAATGTGTACATTGGGACCTGTTTCTTTCCAGGTGGAGGTTCCAGCAGTTGCTGATAGCCATTGCCAAGCGGTTTTCAGGGACAAAATCGGACCGGCCTTTAACCTGCACAAGACTTGGATGTGCGCAGGGGGGGAGGAGGGGAGAGACGCCTGCCTACGCGACGGCGGAGGACCGCTTGTATGCCCGTATAAGGTAATTAACTTTTCCGGAATAGAATGGAATGGAATGGACTGGAATGGAATGGAATGGAATGGAATGGAATGGAATGGAATGGAATGGAATGGAATGGAATGGAATGGAATGGAATGGAATGGAATGGAATGGAATGGAATGGAATGGAATGGAATAGGAGCACTCCCTCCCTTCTCATGAATGCTGAATCCTGAGGTCCCGGGTTCGATTCCTAAGGGGGACAATATTTTCTGCTCGGTTTGGTTGATGGTAGTTCTTTCTTGTTCTAAGTCCACCTGACTAGCTACCATACCATTTATAGTGTAATTTATGAACACAGTTTTAGAAGCCACGATAGCCGAACGGTGAAGGGGTCGGACTGGCCGACTCGTGGTCCGGGGAACGCGTGTTAGGTCCCCGCCGCCGCTCGACTATTCTTAGTGAGTTTACTCGTGACCCAAGCATATTTAGCTTAGTATGAGGGGGGGCTAACGGGAGTATTAGTAATTTTTATGTATAATAATCGAAATAATATTTTAAAAGAAATAGTTTCTAAGACCTTATAACTAACTTTTATATAACTTAAATGACTTTTTTTTTTTCGCAGAACCCGAAAGTCGAAAATCAATACTTTCAGGCTGGGATCGTCTCGTGGGGCAACAACTGCGGCTTGAAGGGGGTTCCTGGAGTGTATTCCAACGTGGCTGCGCTTCGGCAGTGGATCGACGACACTATGGCCGCTGGAGGCTACACCACCGAGTATTATACCCCTTAGATTGGTGACAGGTTTTTTAAGAATAAAAGATCTTATTAATTTAAAGTGTGGAGATAATAATATGTATTAATAAAAAAAATGTTTTCATCAAAAATGTTGTTTATTTTGTGTACGTTACTCCAGCTGGAAAGTAGCTCCTAGAGTGATATGAGTAGAACGTATAATTAGTTCCCAACATGGTGTAAATGTGCGCCGAATTAGAGATTAGTGCGTGCTGTCGTTTTGGTACAAAACGAAAAAAACGATTCCTGCTGGAGTAACGTTGTTCTAGCAGGAAAATTCTAAACGAATGATCGGAAAGAGAAAAACTGTGTACGAGCAGATAGCTTATATTTGTTCTATTATGTGAGCTGAAAATGTGATTTGTGCGTCTTCAGGTTTTCGAGATATTGCATTTCCTGCCAGGGTAACGTTTTGCAGAATGCTCTATCTCAATAACCGTTATATGTGCGCCTATAGAATAAACACACACGAGTAGCTCTTGATTTGTGCGTATATGTGAAAGAAACATGTTTATGAAAATATTTATAAATATCAAGTAATCGAGCTTTCTTCAAAATCCGAAAAAATCGTGTAGCGCCTGAATAACAAAACATACAAGCTCACTGAAAACTCCGTTACTCCAGCAGGAATCGTTTTTTTCGTTTTGTACCAAAACGACAGCACGCACTAATCTCTAATTCGGTGCACATTTACACCATGTTGGGAACTAATTATACGTTCTACTCATATCACTCTAGGAGCTACTTTCCAGCTGGAGTAACGTACACGTTTATTTTACCTCCCCGCTTGCCCGGTTGGTAGCGGCCTGCGTCCAGTGCTTTCCTGCTACCTTTATGATGTCGTCGGTCCACCTTGTGGGTGGACGTCACACGCTGCGTTTTCCGGTAAGCGGCCTCCACTCCAGAACCTTGCTGCCCCATCGGCCGTCAGTTCTGCGTACTATGTGCTAGTATCCAACAGCTTTATGAGGTCATAATGACAAATTAAAGCTCAGTTAATTTAACAATACATTAAAAAGTAGGTAGATAAAGGTATTATCATAAAGGTAGCAGGAAGGCGCAGGATGCAGGCCACTACCTTACCAACTAGGCAACATGGAAAGCATTGGGGGAGGCCTATGTTCAGCAGCAGACGTCCTATGGCTGAGATGATGATGATAATGAAAAAGTAGGTGATATCGGGTACTAAGAAGAAAAAAACATTGGTATGGGTTTGCATACTTTATTAGTTTCTCTCATTTAATGAGTATAATAGCTGGTATCGTATCCCTTGGCCCTGACTTGCTCGTCGATCCACGGCCTCACAGACGCCACGTCTACGTACACTCCTGGAACTTCCTTTTCGTTGCACTGGTGGCCCCAAGATGTGATCCCGGCTTGGTAGAAGCGCCCGTCCTGTGAATATTAGGTACAGATACTTCACATTTTGTCCACAATCAAAATCAAAAATATTATTTAGTTTAGACCACCAGTGGCACTTATGAACGTCAAAATATAGTAAATAATAAAAAAAGAAAAGGTAGCCCTTATGGGGCACTTTACGTCTCCTTTGGGCCCTACCAGCGCTTCGAGACAAACATACGGCAAGTGCTGAGAAGAAACGCCGGAACAAACTTAATCAATATAATAACTCAAAGGACTGACTGACTGACTGACATAGTGATCTATCAACGCACAGCCCAAACCACTGGACGGATCGGGCTGAAATTTGGCATGCAAGTAGATGTTTTGACGTAGGCATCCGCTAAGAAAGAATTTTACGAAACTCCACCCCTAAGGGGGTAAAACGGGATCCACGCGTACGAAGTCGCGGGCGGCCGCTAGTTAAGTATAATTAAGCAGCGTGGGATGTCCACCCAAAAGGAGGACCGATGACATCGGAAGGTGCTGGACGCAGGCCGCTACCAACCGGGCAACATGGAAAGCATTGGGGGAGGCCTATGTTTAGCAGTGGATGTCCAATGACTGAGATAATAATGATGAGATGATGAAGTATTATGGTGTGGGGTGGAACGGTGGAATGCAATGGAACGGAATGGAATGGGACAGAACGGAATGGAATGGAATAGAACGAAATGAAATGGAATGAAGCAGAATGAAATGGAATGTAGCAGAATGAAATGGAATGAAGTAGAATGAAATGGAATAAAGCAGAATGAAATGGAATGAAGTAAAATAAAATGGAAAGAAGCAGAATGAAGTAGAATTAAATGAAATGGAGTGAAATCAAATTGAATTTCATATTATTATTAAGGAATAGCAATATTTTATATCAAATTACCGGGTATGGGCACACCAAGGGAGCGCCACCGTCTCCCGTACAAGTATCCTTGCCGTTCCCGCCAGCGCAGATAAGAGTGGGATCCACGTCATACTGCGGGTTATTCAGTGCTGCCCTGAGACTGGTCTGACAGGTCTGACGGTCCACCACGGGCAAGTTCATCTGTGGGGAGAAATTGTTGAGTTTTTCATTTACTACGGTGAATAAAAATTACCAGGGAAACATAGCCATAACGGGACTATTCCCACCTCTCGTTTCCACCACTGCAACTCCTGTGTAGCCAGGATCTACAGCTTGACCGCCATAAAAGCCCAACCAATGAAGGTCAAGTTTGTCCCGGGGTGTACATAGCCATAAAGGCTGCGTTTCCACCAGAGATATGCGAGGATGCGTAGCGGGGCCACGGGGGATGTGTTTATAACGAACCTATTGATTCTTTTTAGGCCAGTAGAATTAAACACAAAAATGAATTAAATCGGAAATAATTCCTACTAAAGATTTTAGTGCTTTAATGGCTTCATTAGTTGCCCATAAAGACTCTCCTAGGTTTTCGACTTCGACGGAGTTGTGCTTAAGTGGTGGGGGCCCCCGAAAAGGCGCTTTTTCGGTTTTCCGGTTACTATACCGCGTAAAGGACTTACCCTATCGAAAAGTGGTCTTTTCGATAGGGTAAGTCCTAATCTAGCTAATCTTCCTGACGGTTGAAGGGCATTTCATCCTGCATTAAATAAGACCAAATTCATATGTTTTGAACAAATCGTTCTCGTGCAAATGTTCGGCAAAGTAGAAAATATGTGTATAATTAATGACCCTCTCCACGTCCAATGGCTCGTTACCCGCAGGGTTCCAAGTCTTGAAAAGGAGCGCCTCAACCAGTGTAACCCTATCAAGGCTTACGAGCTGGATGCGCCTATCCTTGTTCGTCCCAGCCGTTCCTTAACTGCGGTTGCTGCACCTCTTCCTGGCACTCAACTGAACGACTCTGTGTTACCTTCTGTGGCTGTCCCTCTTCCTTGTATCCTCCTGCACGACTACGTTGCCTAGCCGTATGCCTGGTCTAAGGTTCGACGCCAAAAATCAACAACAACAAGTTCATATTAAAACGCTGAAGAGGTTTTTGTTTGTTTGTTTGAACGCGCTAATCTCAAGAATTACTAGTTTGATTGAAATAATTATTTTTGTGTTGAATAGCTCATAAATTGAGGAAGGCTATAGGATATATACAATCACTCTACGACTAATAGAGGCGAAGCAGTAAAGAAAAATGTTGCAAGCACGGAAAATAGTATTTAAACTCTTTTCACGCGTACGAAGTCGATTTTGTGGCGTCGAACCTTGGACCAGGCATATGGCTAAGCAATGCAATCGTACAGGAGGGTACAAGAAAGAGGGGCAGCCACATTAGGTAACACAAAATCGTTCAGGAGAGTGCCAGGAAGAGGTGCAGCAACCGCAGTTAAGGAACGGCTGGGACGAACAAGGATAAGCGAATCCAACTCGTGAGCCTTGACAGGGATACACTGGTTAAGGCGACCCTTTACAAGGCTTGGGAGCTTACGGGTGACGAGCTATTGGACGTGGAGAGGGTTATTAATTATACACATATTTTCTACTGTGCCGAACATTTGCACGAGAACGGTTTGTCCGAAACATATGAATTTGGTCTTATTTAATGCAGGATTAAATGCCCTTCAACCGTCAGGAAGACCACTTTTCGATAGGGTAAGTCCTTTACGCGGTATAACCGGAAAACCTAAAAAGCGCCCCTTTCGGGGGCCCACACCACTTATGCACAACTCCGTCGAAGTCGAAAACCTAGGAGAGTCTTAATGGGCAACCAATGAAGCCATTAAAGCAATAAAATCTTTTGTAGGAATTATATCCGATTTAAAATCTAATTCTACTGGCCTATTTACCGAAGCTTTTTCTTTTTAATCGCTTCATTTACCGAGGCGATAACACATCCCTCGCTACGCATCCTCGCACTCTCTGGTGGAAATGCAGCCTAAAGGAGCTATTTTCAGTTGTTTTTGAGCCCATTGAGCTTCTGTAGTGGATATGACTTCATAATGTTTAACTACTCATCATAAGAAATAAGCACACTTTATCTACCCGGAAACGGATCGTAACCGTTACGGTCAGTATTCTTTGTATGTAACTCCGTACTGCAACGCACACTTATCCGCACTGTACCATAAATGCGGCGAAAGGCGATGCAGTATTGATCCCTTTCCTAGTTGATAAGTGTGCTATGACCTGTAAGTGTGTGCGTGCGCGCCGCATACGTATATTGGCGCGCTCACATACAAACCGCGCTCGGTGCGTTTCTATGAAGATGACCTACTCATTTGTATTTACTCTGCTTACCTCCTTCTGTACGTTTTCCATAGGGCCCTTGTACTCAGCACTGCCCCAGCCGCTGACGACGCATTTAGTGGCGGGAGCAGTGACCACGCTCGGTTCAGGCAGGCAGGTGTAGTCGATGTGCACGTCTTGAAGAATATCTGAATCTAGGAACAGGAGGCCGACGTCGTATATCCCGATACCTGTGAAAGATAGATAGATAGATAAATCATTATTATTATTACTGACGGGATTGCTACCATGTACCTTAATTTTGAGTTTCCGATNAGTGGAGTGGAGTTGAGTGGAGTGGAGTGGAGTGGAGTGGAGTGGAGTGGAATGGAATGGAATGGAATAGGAGCACTCCCTCCCTTCTCATGAATGCTGAATCCCGAGGTCCCGGGTTCGATTCCTAAGGGGGACAATATTTTCTGCTCGGTTTGGTTGATGGTAGTTCTTTCTTGTTCTAAGTCCACCTGACTAGCTACCATACCATTTATAGTGTAATTTATGAACACAGTTTTAGAAGCCACGATAGCCGAACGGTGAAGGGCGACCCCTTCACCGTCGGCGACTCACCAGTCCGACGACTGGCCGACTCGTGGTCCGGGGAACGCGTGTTAGGTCCCCGCCGCCGCTCGACTATTCTGGTGAGCTCACTGAGCTCATTCGTGACCCAAGCATATTTAGCTTGGTACGAGGGGCTATTTAACGGGAGTATTAGTAATTTTTATGTATAATAATCGAAATAATCTTTTTAAAGAAATAGTTTCTAAGACCTTATTACTAACATTTATACTTATTTTGCAGAACCCGAAGATCGAAAACCAATACTTTCAAGCTGGAATCGTTTCGTGGGGCAACAACTGCGGCTTGAAGGGGGTTCCTGGAGTATATTCCAACGTGGCTGCTCTTCGGCAATGGATCACCGACACTATGGCCGCTGGAGGCTACACCACCGAGTATTATACCCCTTAGATTGGTGACAGGTTTTTTAAGAATAAAAGATCTTATTAATTTAAAGTGTGGAGATAATAATATGTATTAATAAAAAAAATGTTTTCATCAAAAATATTGTTTATTTTACCTCCCCGCTTGCCCGGTTGGTAGCGGCCTGCGTCCAGTGCTTTCCTGCTACCTTTATGATGTCGTCGGTCCACCTTGTGGGTGGATGTCTTGGTGGACGTCCCACGCTGCGTTTTCCGGTAAGCGGCCTCCACTCCAGAACCTTGCTGCCCCATCGGCCGTCAGTTCTGCGTACTATGTGCTAGTATCCAACAGCTTTATGATGATGATACAGCGTGATGACAAATTAGTAGATAGATAAAGGTAGCAGGAAAGCGCTGGACGCAGGCCGCTACCCTACAAACTGGGCAACATGGAAAGCATTGGGGGAGGCCTATGTTCAGCAGCAGACGTCCTATAGCTGAGATGATGATGATGATGAGATATCGGGTACTAAGAAGAAAAACACTAGTATAATTTGCATAATTTATTAGTTTCTCTCATTTAATGAGTATAATAGCTGGTATCGTATCCCTTGGCCTTGACTTGCTCGTCGATCCACGGCCTCACAGACGCCACGTCTACGTACACTCCTGGAACATCCTTTTGGTAGCACAAGTATCCCCAGGATGTGATCCCGGCTTGGTAGAAGCGCCCGTCCTGTGAATATTAGGTACAGATACTTTACATTTTGTCCACAATCAAAATCAAAAATATTTATTCAGTTTAGACCACAAGTGGCACTTATGAACGTCAAAATATAGTAAATAATAAAAAAAGAAAAGGTAGCCCTTATGGGGCACTTTACGTCTCCTTTGGGCCCTACCAGCGCTTCGAGACAAACATACGGCAAGTGCTGAGAAGAAACGCCGGAACAAACTTAATCAATATAATAACTCAAAGGACTGACTGACTGACTGACATAGTGATCTATCAACGCACAGCCCAAACCACTGGACGGATCGGGCTGAAATTTGGCATGCAAGTAGATGTTTTGACGTAGGCATCCGCTAAGAAAGAATTTTACGAAACTCCACCCCTAAGGGGGTAAAACGGGATCCACGCGTACGAAGTCGCGGGCGGCCGCTAGTTAAGTATAATTAAGCAGCGTGGGATGTCCACCCACAAGGAGGACCGATGACATCGGAAGGTGCTGGACGCAGGCCGCTACCAACCGGGCAACATGGAAAGCATTGGGGGAGGCCTATGTTTAGCAGTGGATGTCCAATGACTGAAATAATAATGATGAGATGATGAAGTATGAAAATATTTATAAATATCAAGTAATCGAGCTTTCTTCAAAATCCGAAAAAATCGTGTAGCGCCTGAATAACAAAACATACAAGCTCACTGAAAACTCCGTTACTCCAGCAGGAATCGTTTTTTTCGTTTTGTACCAAAACGACAGCACGCACTAATCTCTAATTCGGTGCACATTTACACCATGTTGGGAACTAATTATACGTTCTACTCATATCACTCTAGGAGCTACTTTCCAGCTGGAGTAACGTACACGTTTATTTTACCTCCCCGCTTGCCCGGTTGGTAGCGGCCTGCGTCCAGTGCTTTCCTGCTACCTTTATGATGTCGTCGGTCCACCTTGTGGGTGGACGTCACACGCTGCGTTTTCCGGTAAGCGGCCTCCACTCCAGAACCTTGCTGCCCCATCGGCCGTCAGTTCTGCGTACTATGTGCTAGTATCCAACAGCTTTATGAGGTCATAATGACAAATTAAAGCTCAGTTAATTTAACAATACATTAAAAAGTAGGTAGATAAAGGTATTATCATAAAGGTAGCAGGAAGGCGCAGGATGCAGGCCACTACCTTACCAACTAGGCAACATGGAAAGCATTGGGGGAGGCCTATGTTCAGCAGCAGACGTCCTATGGCTGAGATGATGATGATAATGAAAAAGTAGGTGATATCGGGTACTAAGAAGAAAAAAACATTGGTATGGGTTTGCATACTTTATTAGTTTCTCTCATTTAATGAGTATAATAGCTGGTATCGTATCCCTTGGCCCTGACTTGCTCGTCGATCCACGGCCTCACAGACGCCACGTCTACGTACACTCCTGGAACTTCCTTTTCGTTGCACTGGTGGCCCCAAGATGTGATCCCGGCTTGGTAGAAGCGCCCGTCCTGTGAATATTAGGTACAGATACTTCACATTTTGTCCACAATCAAAATCAAAAATATTATTTAGTTTAGACCACCAGTGGCACTTATGAACGTCAAAATATAGTAAATAATAAAAAAAGAAAAGGTAGCCCTTATGGGGCACTTTACGTCTCCTTTGGGCCCTACCAGCGCTTCGAGACAAACATACGGCAAGTGCTGAGAAGAAACGCCGGAACAAACTTAATCAATATAATAACTCAAAGGACTGACTGACTGACTGACATAGTGATCTATCAACGCACAGCCCAAACCACTGGACGGATCGGGCTGAAATTTGGCATGCAAGTAGATGTTTTGACGTAGGCATCCGCTAAGAAAGAATTTTACGAAACTCCACCCCTAAGGGGGTAAAACGGGATCCACGCGTACGAAGTCGCGGGCGGCCGCTAGTTAAGTATAATTAAGCAGCGTGGGATGTCCACCCAAAAGGAGGACCGATGACATCGGAAGGTGCTGGACGCAGGCCGCTACCAACCGGGCAACATGGAAAGCATTGGGGGAGGCCTATGTTTAGCAGTGGATGTCCAATGACTGAGATAATAATGATGAGATGATGAAGTATTATGGTGTGGGGTGGAACGGTGGAATGCAATGGAACGGAATGGAATGGGACAGAACGGAATGGAATGGAATAGAACGAAATGAAATGGAATGAAGCAGAATGAAATGGAATGTAGCAGAATGAAATGGAATGAAGTAGAATGAAATGGAATAAAGCAGAATGAAATGGAATGAAGTAAAATAAAATGGAAAGAAGCAGAATGAAGTAGAATTAAATGAAATGGAGTGAAATCAAATTGAATTTCATATTATTATTAAGGAATAGCAATATTTTATATCAAATTACCGGGTATGGGCACACCAAGGGAGCGCCACCGTCTCCCGTACAAGTATCCTTGCCGTTCCCGCCAGCGCAGATAAGAGTGGGATCCACGTCATACTGCGGGTTATTCAGTGCTGCCCTGAGACTGGTCTGACAGGTCTGACGGTCCACCACGGGCAAGTTCATCTGTGGGGAGAAATTGTTGAGTTTTTCATTTACTACGGTGAATAAAAATTACCAGGGAAACATAGCCATAACGGGACTATTCCCACCTCTCGTTTCCACCACTGCAACTCCTGTGTAGCCAGGATCTACAGCTTGACCGCCATAAAAGCCCAACCAATGAAGGTCAAGTTTGTCCCGGGGTGTACATAGCCATAAAGGCTGCGTTTCCACCAGAGATATGCGAGGATGCGTAGCGGGGCCACGGGGGATGTGTTTATAACGAACCTATTGATTCTTTTTAGGCCAGTAGAATTAAACACAAAAATGAATTAAATCGGAAATAATTCCTACTAAAGATTTTAGTGCTTTAATGGCTTCATTAGTTGCCCATAAAGACTCTCCTAGGTTTTCGACTTCGACGGAGTTGTGCTTAAGTGGTGGGGGCCCCCGAAAAGGCGCTTTTTCGGTNTCAAAATTTCTTTATTTGTTTGGACTAATAAATAGTTCTTACAAATCGTCATTTTGCTCTTAAGGAGCCTCTACATGTCTCATAATCTTTTTACCCTACCAGCGCTTCGAGACCAACATTTGGCAAGTGCTGAGAAGAAGCGCCGCAACAAACTCAGTCACCACTGTCTGCCGGTTAATATAAATAAATAGAAATAGTAGTAGTAGGTACATTCGATTCAGGAGCAGTTCACTGAATTTACCATGCATTCTTGTATGGTGTATCTTATAAGAATGGGTATACAAGATTGCGTGGTATATTAAACAAGGTAGTGACGTGCTAATATCTAGACTTACATATTAAGATACTAGTAGAAATGACTCGCATACATAAATTTGAATAACTTGGATTGACCAGTCCCCAAAAGCAGCGCCTGTTCACAGACATGACGAGTGAACCAGCCATCGCTTCACTCGACCATATTAGAGGGAATGTAACGACCCGCCTCACTACGCCACCACCCCAGAGACATTTTAGTGAGAATGACAATTCCAAGTTATCTCTTTGAAAAAAAACTAATAATAAAGCTAAGTAACAGTCCAGATTGAGAAGCATGACACTACAACATTTGAGAAATTATTATTAGTTTATACATTACTTTTCATTTTAATTCTTTTTAGTGCGAGCATGGAGGACCATAATCCTACTCCCAGGATGACTTATCATTAAGAAATGACTTGATAATGTTTAACTACCTACTCATAAGAAATAAGCACACTTTATCTACCCGGAAACGGATCGTAACCGTTAGGCCCAGAACATACGGTGAAACGCAATGCAACGAAACTGCAACTTTCTGTTGATTCTGATGAATGAAACTGTGTGGTCAACGGACGCTATGGCAGAAACTTAGATGCAACTCAAAAGTAACTAGCAGTTGCAGTTTGGGCCTTACGGTCAGTATTCTTTGAATGTAACTCCGTACTGCAATGCACACTTATCCGCATGTACCATAAATGCGGTTGACCGCGCGGCGAAAGGCGATGCTGTATATTCTCTTTCCTAGTTGATAAGTGTGCTATGACCTGTACCAGAGTAAATACAAATGAGTAGGTCATCTTCATAGAAACGCACGGGCGCGGTTTGTATGTGAGCGCGCCAACACCTATGCGGCGCGCTCGCACACACTGACAAAATTTAGCGGGGATTAGCGGGGAGGTGCGCTCGGTGCGTTTCTATGAAGATGACCTACTCATTTGTATTTACTCTGCCTGTACCCACCTCCTTCTGTACGTTTTCCATAGGCCCCATATACTCAGCACTGCCCCATCCGCTGACGACGCATTTAGTGGCGGGAGCAGTGACCACGCTCGGTTCAGGCAGGCAGGTGTAGTCGATGTGGACGTCTTGAAGAATATCTGAATCTAGGAACAGGAGGCCGACGTCGTATATCCCGATACCTGTGAGAGATAGATAGAAAGATAAATCATTATTATTATTTCTGACGGGATTGCTACCATGTACCTTAATTTTGAGTTTTCGATATTTCGGCACTGTTGCCGACACACTAAAATAAATGACTATGAGTGTGAGTGTTTGTGGTGTGTGTGAGTGTGTGTGTGTGTGTGTGCGTGACTGTGACTGTGACTGTGACTGTGACTATGACATACCAGAGTCAAATGAGTCGTGAGTGACTGCCGACACCACATCTCTCAACTGATCAAGGTATCGCGCCCTTCTTTTGTTCTCCAAGTCCAAGACGCCGGCTCTGACCTTCCACGTGACGTCCTCTTCAAGGAAGCGGTTCGCTACCGTCAGCACCACGCGTGGGTGGATTAGGGAGCCCACACATGTATAGCTTAGGCTACCGTCGGGTTTGACTCTGAAATTTAAAAAGGGATGATTGACCAGCTTCTCATTGGGTTGTTTTTAAGGGGGGTACTGGCCCGATTAGTATCATAATTCATGAGTTAATACTATGAACCAACATCTTCTCTAAAAGAGAGGGCTATCGTTCTGCAGTGGCAGGAAGTATAGAAACTCCCCGAGAAATATGCGAACATCAGGCCTTCCCAACCCGTCTGGCCAGCGTGGGCAGCTTAAGCCAAATCCTCCGTTTGCCTCTGGTAAATTTGAGGATCGTACTCTTACAATGGAGGCTGAATGACCTGGTGATGATGATAACAGTAGTGAAGATTATGATGATGATGATAATTTAGTGTAAGTAAACAAACAAAAGTGGAAATGCGTGGGAAAGCGCAGCGTAGGACGTCCACCCACAAGGTGGACCGTTGACCTCATAAAGGTAGCAGGAAGGCGCTGGATGCAGGCCACCAAACTACCCAAAGATCATTATGGAAATCATAAGGGGAGGCATATATCCTGTGGCTGAAATGATGATGATGAAACAAATTACTTACTCGTATACTGCAACGGTCCATGGGAATTCACCAAACATGGCTCTTTGGATTTTGTCTTTAATCTTGAATCCACCACCACCGTTACGGTTCCGTACGCCACAACCCTATAAAATTAACGTAATTTAAAGGATTTTGTTTTGGAAACGCTGGGACCTTGGGGCCCTGAGCAGGGGCTACGCCTATTAAGGGGCTAGGCGGGGAATTGCCCCGGGGCCCCTAAGTTCAGGGGGCCCCCGAATCCTTACCAGAAAATCTCAATTGAAATGAACTTTTGATAATTTCTCCCATTTTCAAAATAAATAGAGAGAAATTCGATATTTATACTTAGGGAATTCCCCTAAATTATTTCTGTGGGTTGGCAGTAGTTTAAATTTAACGGATAGCGATATATGCGTTTTATTATTCATCGATGTGCGTTTTTTTTATATTTACAATAGTACACAGCTAATAATAATAAAATAAAATAAAGTATAATAGTTTTGTTGTGAAGAGAAGATAAGAGAACTGTTAAATAAATTTAAACTGTATCAGGAGTAAGTAAGCTTAATGTCAATAAACTTAATAAAACCTAACCAGTTTAGATTTCAGTGGGGCCCCATTTTTTTATTTGCCCCAGGGCCCTTGGTTACCTAACTGGCCCTGAGGCCAAAAAGCTAGCAACATCGAGGTTACCGGTGACCAGAGGCCTATAAAGGTCACCCTAATCACACTTACGCCTGTATTCAAAGATTACTATGAGGTCTCACGTGAGCGTGTACGCACAGGATGACATGCGATTGCGAACCAATCACAGAGCTCTATTTAATGCGTTCGATTTGCTACTTCACTTAAAGCCTTGATCACACATACCGAGCAAACGGGCGAGACAGTGCTCTCGGCCGAGTACTCGGTATGTATGAACATTAAGCCGAGTGCTCGGCCGAGCGCTCGAGTATGTGACTCGCTCACCCAACTGTCTCGGCCGAGGAAAAATTTTACTGGCTCGCCCGAGTAAACACTCACGGTACGTGTGATCAAGGCATAAGCAAGCGGGCGTTATTTTATCAACCCGGAAAGGAATCAACATCGTATTGCCTTTCGCCGCGCGGTCAACAGAGGCGAAGCGTTTACGTAACGGTGCGGATAAGTGTGTTGCAGTACTCGCAGTACAGAGTTTCATACAAAGAATACCTACTGACCGCCTCAAGTTGATACGGTTACGATCCGTTTCCGGGTTGATAAGTGTGCTTCGACCTTGTGTGTGCGTTGCAGTCCGGAATTTCATACAAAGAACTGACCGCCTCGAGTTGATACGGTTACGGTTACGATCCGTTTCCGGGTTGACCTTAAGACCAGGGGTCTCCAAACTTTGAAGCCTTGGGGCCATAATATTTTTTTGGGTATATTGCAAGGGCCATAACAATTTTAATTTTTCTGCCCACCTATGCAAACATAGGCTTAGTATTAAGCTGTCGCGGGCTGGATTGATGGTAGTTGCAGGCCAGAAATGGCCCGCGGGCCGTAGTTTGGAGACCCCTGTTTTTTTTCTTTAAAAAGATTATTAGCAATTTGTATTGCACAAATTACAAATAGTCCCGTTAGCCCCTCGTGGTAAGCTAAATAAGCTTGTGTTACGAGTGGGCTCACCACAATAGTCTAGCGGCGGTGGGATTCGAATCCGCGTTCCTCGGATTTCGAGTCGCCCACTCCGACCCCTTCACCGTTCGGCTATCGTGGCTATACAGGGTGTTAGGTAAATGGGTATATGAGCCGACACTAGCTCATGTTAACATGGGCATATAAATGGTATGGTGAAGTCAGAAATTTGATATCATCATTTTATTTTTTTTAAATTTACGTACAAAATTAATTTTATAAAGACCGATTTGTATGAAAAATAAAATAATTAAAATGAAGATATCAATTTTCTGACTTCACTATACCATTTATATGCCCATGTTAACATGGGCTAGTGTCGGCTCATATACCCATTTACCTAACACCCTGTATAGTGGATAGTTTTATACTACAAAAAAATAATTGATAACTTACTTTAGTAGGTGCTTGAGTACCACCAATATTAGGAGCGACTGTGGGAGTGGTGGCTTCAATGGGAGGTGTCGGGGTTTGGTGTCGACTTGTGACAGATATGATGTCTGATAGAACACAGCACATTGTGTTCTCTGGACAATTGTTTTGCCTGTAAACACAATAATAATGTGAAATGGCAATATTGTCTAATTTATACAGGGTGTCCCAAAAAGTAGTGTCAACCCGAAGCCCAGAGATAGAGCATCACCTGGGCTATTCAAATCACCCCGCAATTTTTTATAGTTTTCGAGTTATGATTGTTTTAAATTTCCGTGCTTAAGCACTTTTTTGGTCACTGTGGCGCGAATAGACAAGTTAAATGCCTGATTTTTTTATTATTAATAGATGAACACTAGGCCTAGCTGATTCCGAAGTATTTACATCCATAACACAAATGTAAACTAAAATCCTGTGTGTTGAAAAATAACCATAACTCGAAAACGTCAAAAGTCACGGTGATTTGGGTAGCCCTAGTAATGCTCTACCTCTCGGGTACTTTTTACTTTTTGGGACACCCTGTATAATGAGCAGACACCAAACTTGACCTTCATTGGTTGGATTTTTATTGGCGGTCAAGCTGTAGATCCTGGCTACATAGGAGTTGTAGCGGTGGGAACGAGAGGTGGAAGTACGAGTAGTCCCGTTACCTGAAATGCACTCGGTTTTCGCCATGGTTTGGTGTCTTGCATGAGGACGGCGCCACACAGGACCCCTGCTGTTTATCGGCCAGTGTGCAGTCAGAGGGCGCTGCTGGTGATGGTGGTACTGTCGCTGGAAGATGATAATGATTTAAGGATATTCCATACTGGATTCGTTCTTTAGCGCTCCTGCACCGCGGTGGCGCGATGGCGGNGGTGGCAGTGCGGTGGCGGCGCGGCGGCGGCGCGGTGGCGGCGTCGTGTGCAGGAGCGCTTAGTCTGTCAGCCACTGCACTGTAACGTAAACGCCCTCCTGCTACTTTTTTTTTATGTGACGTCTGTCCACCTTGTGTCCACGTCTCACGTGATCTCCACTCCAGAAACTTGCTAGCCCATCGGCCGTCAGTTCATGCCACTTCAGCTTGATGATCCGTCGGGCTATGTTATAGATGATGATGACGGTAATGATAATCGTTTTAGCCAAATAATGTCCACTGCTGGACAAAGGCCTCCCCCAAGGATTTCCTACAAGGACCGGTCCTGCGCCGCCCGCATCCAGGCCACACTACATCTTCCGGCCTGTGGTCGTCACTCGAGAACTTTTCTGCCCCAGCGGCCATCAGCTCTGCGAGCATTTGATTCTAGCAATTTTGCGGGCTATGTCAGTCACTTTGGTTCTCCTGCGGATCTCCTCATTTCTGATTCGATCACGCAGGGAAACTCCGAGCATAGCACGCTCTATCGCGTTTGTGACCGTGAGCCTTCTTATGAGGCCCATAATAAGGTAACGATAAAAAAATTAATACTTACTATAAACAGTAGGTCCAGAATCGTCAAATATGTCGTCCTCCGGGTTACTCTGTCCATACGCCGCACATACGTATATTGCAAGTACCAATAACATATTCATCTGAAACACAGATCATAATCAAAAATTAAAACAACATTTTTGTACCCATGTGAAGCTGTGAGGTCACTAGTTACCTAAGAAACATTTACGGGACTATTCCCTCTCGTTCCCACCGCTGCAACTCCTGTGTAGCCAGGATCTACAGCTTGACCGCTAAAACCCAACCAGTGAAGGCCAAGTTTGTTCCGGGGGAAAGTTAAACTGTCATTGGACTCGCAACGAAATTAATCAGAAGAACATAGGAGGAGTTCGAAGCTAGAGCTCGAGTTTCCAGTGCAAAGTTAATTTGGTGCCAAATAAACATTTTTTCTTTCTTTCTTTCTTTCTTTCAAAGCGGATTTAGAAATTTTACAACATACTCACGTTTAAATTCATGGTTGCAATTCACCGAGAGCTTCTAAACTATAGCAAATAACTTGAATATAATAGCATAAAGTCCAATGAGATAACGAGGTGAAGTAGGTACGTAACCTTTATAAATAAATAGTATTAACAGGGATGTTATGGATACGGTTACGGATATTGGAATAATATTATACCGGTTTCGGTTACGGTTACGGATATTTTTTATTTCGGATATCCGAAAGTTACGGTTAGGGATATCTGTGCTAAGTATAGAATGCAAATATCAATAGTTGTACAACACAGTTCATGCCTTACGAATAGAATGGGTACAGAAAAGATTTCTTTGGCATCTGTCACCTTCTTTTGGTCTCACAAAAAAGCTTTTAACTTATGGGAAAAAACTCATGTACTTCAAAATGCAATCATTAAATGAGCGCAGGGACTTGCTTGACTCTGCCTACATCCGAAACCTTTGAATCGCTTAAGGTTACGGTTACGGATATTTTTTTATTTCGGATATCCGAAAGTTTCGGTTACGGTTACGGATATCCATAACATTCCTGGTATTAATTAATAGTATTTTCCCGTAACTGACAGGGTGACACAGAGTGTTCAAAAATCTATCCTACTAATATTATAAATGCGAAAGTTTGGATGTATGGATGTCTGGATGTTTGTCACTCTTTTACGCAAAAACTACTGAACGGATTTTGAAGAAACTTTACAGTATTATTGTTTAACTCAGATTAACAATATAGGCTATAATTTATGACAATCTGTGACAAACTAAATTTCACGCGGGTGGAGCCGCGGGCAAAAGCTAGTATTAGTATACGGGTAGAATTTAATGTAATGCCACCAGGAGGGAAAGTATTAATACTGTAGATAGAAAATTTTACTGAAAGAAAACATTCCTTTATTTTTTTAAAGAAAGACAACTGCATTTAAAGATTTTCGATTTGTTTTCGACAATTACTCACTATAATACCATAAAATTTTCTATAGGTACATAGGTAATTAAAATAATTTAAGATTTCATGGTTTGATTTATTAGAGAGATTTCATCCTTATACTGAACCCTAATGATCGATGCAATAAAAATACAGGGTGTAATTTATAACAGATTTTAGTTGGTTCCATTCCCGGGTGTGGCAAGCAAATTTTTTGAAATCTTTGAATGCAGTTCTATTCCTTTTCAAATATAAAGGAATGTTTTCTTTGAGAAAAATTTTCTATCTACAATATAAGGAGTACTTTCCCTCCAGGTGGCATTACAAAATTCCATCCTGTAGATTTACTTGGACATCATAAGCTGACTCAGTTTTGTTTACCAAGTCTTGGGTTAACCCATACTGATAAAATTGTTTACATTTAATTAATATAGCATAAATCATATTATTACCCATAATATTAAATTAATATTCCCAGTTTAGTCGGAGGACGATAAGCGAGGCGGTATGTAACCTATTGAAATATTTGTTAAACTTTCCTTTTAAGGGGCCATCCATAAAATAAAATTACGTCATACTTTAAGGGGGTCGACGAAGTGTGGGAGCGGGAGGGGCCCTAAATTTCGTGACGTCACATTTCACAATTTATTTTAATATAAGTGATAAGAAAAACGAACTGGAAACGAAAAACTCAAAAACATTTGCAACTTTTATCTGTAGGAAAAGATATTATTAAAAATTGAAATAATTAAATTGTCACTTTGAGAGTTTTATAAATACCTACTAAAGTTATTAATCGGCCATATTTACGTAGGCCCGCTGCCACTTGACTTGTGGGAGGGGCACATAGCTCGTAGAGCTGATGGCCGCTGGGGCAGGAAAGTTCTTGAGTAGCGACCACGAGCCGGAAGACGTAGCGTGGGCAGGCCTCCCATTAGGTGGACCGACGATCTGGTGAGGGTCGTGGGAGGTGCCTGGATGCGATCGGCGCAGGACCGGTCTTTGTGGAAATCCTTGGGGGAGACCGGCGTGCAGCGAAGACGTCCACTGCTGGACGTCTTCGCTGCACGCCGGCTGATCCTTTAATCAAACATAACTTTGCTATTGTACGGCTGGGTTGCACCATCTTACTTTAACTTTGACAAACGTCAAAAGTCTGTTAAACTCCATACAAAAACACCGGTTATCATCATAGTTACTATTATAGTTAGGTGGTGCAACTCAGCCTAAGACTCTGTCTAGCTGCTACTAACTGCAAAAATAAATTTGTACCTAACAGTTTTTTATGTTTTTGTATTTCTTACTAAATGTTCTTGAATTGTCTTGTTGCAGAAATGTGGACACTCACCATTCTGCTAGTCGCCTGTTCTAGCGAAATAATATGGGCTCAATCAAGTACGTTACTGTTTTATTCTAAGAATTTTATGTATAACAGCTGCGCCCGCGACTTCGTACGCGTGAAAATGTTTAAATAATATTTCCCCTTTTTACGATATTTTTCTTTACCGCCCCTATTGGCTGCAAGGTGATATTTTATAGCCTAAAGCCTTCCTTGATAAATGGGCTATCCAACACATAAAGAGTTGTTCAAATCGGACCAGTAGTTCCCGAGATTAGCGCTATCAACCAAACAAAAAACAAAGCTTTTTCAGTAAGTAGGTATAGATTGTTTTGGAACTAATCTTCTGCTTGTTTTCTCCAAGGTCCGCCCTGTATCCTGGAAGGGGGTGGGTTGGGGGGTTGTGTGGAGACAGAGCAGTGCGATCCAAACACCAACACCATCATTGAAGACGGCTCCAACATCATTAACGCGCGGAATGATGGGTAAGTGTTACGAACTGTGACGACCACAGATCACAGAAACTAAAGGGAGATGTGAAAAGGGGGCGGGGCCGGTGTCACAGCAATATGCCCAAAAACAGAACACATTGCTCGCGACATGTCAAATGTCAAACAGTTTACATTGCTTGCGTAGTAATAAAGATTATTCGAACGTCGAGTGCTGATACCGCAGTGGATAATGAGCACATTCACACTAACATAATTCATTCAATCACAAGTCACTGCGTATGTAGTGGTCTGGTACGTATATTACTTTTAACGTGTGCCTACGAATAGTAGCTCTGAATTTAATGTGTGCATGACACACTCTTCGCGACATATTGTTTTTATTTTGATTACTTTGTGTGTATGAATTTCCAATGCAACACTGAGTTTTGAACTCAGCGCATTAGTTGGCATCTCTCTATATTTCTATGGTATCTTGGGTTCTTTTTCAGGGGGTCCTGACCCCTGATATGCCATGACACGGCGCGATTAGTATCATGGCTCATGCATGAGTTATCATCTTCAAATCAAGTCATCGTCCGGGGTGCCGTTCTAAATCCTCTCTCGTTTTACAGGGACGTGATCAAATGCCCACAGCCGCAAGTGTGCTGCGCCTATATGCGCAGCGAAATGCGAAGCGCTGCCACCGAGGTATGTCTGTCAGGTCTTAAATTATATTAGACAAGCTAAAACGAGGGTAAAACACATGGAACCAACGTCTCAATCATCGAAGAACTTAGTATCAAACAGTGTCTTTCTTCCATCGTCCAAAGTCGTATTCTCACTTTCTTTGGCCATATAATACACGTGGAGACGTCGCTTCTGTCTCTGAACGACTTGTCGTGCAGGGGAAGGTTAAGGGCACAAGAGTGCGCGGCAGGTCGCCCGTGCGCTGGACTGACCAGGTCAAAACCGCACTCAATGGTCCACTCCACGAGTGCACAAGAAAGGGTGCAGCGAGAGAAATGGCGACGGATTGCGAGGCTTGCCACTGGACCGGATGTGACGATCACGACCACTCTGGCAAGAGTTTAGCGACAAAGAAGAAGAAAACACTTCGTGCGTTTCAGCTAAATGACGTCCCCTGCTAGACAAAGGCCTCGGACCCCAAGGATCTCCATAACGACCGGTAATGCGCTACCCTCTTCCAGACGCTTCCAGTACCTCTACCACAAGCAACTTTCGTCTTCGAATCGTTACCATCTAAAGCCCGGTCGCCTAGCACGTAGAATTTCGTCCAATGACCCCAAGCTACCCATCCTCCAAGATCCCAAGCTCGCACACTCACTGCGGCCGCCCGTCGCACAGTCGCGACAGCAATATAATTACGCGCGAGAGATAAGTATGGGTAGCTTGGGGTCATTGGACGAAATTCTACGTGCTCGGCGACCGTACTATAGTATTCGTCTACTCATTTGCCCCCTGTCCAATAAAAAATTCTTTCTGTTCAAGGAGGACCTCTGTACCAATTCAAGCACTTGTTGTGGCGTCCAAAGGCGTGTAGACATCCCTGGCTATGTCAAGCAAAGGACCAACGAGGCCGACCCTGGCGAGTTTCCCTGGGTTGTAGACTTGATGATGTAAGTATAAGATAGTTCGCAGTTCGATGCTTATGAGAGTTACCAACCAATATATTTGATAGAAGCCACGATAGCCGAACGGAATTGCAAGCAACATTGGAAAGCTGTTGATCCTGGCTACACAGGAGTTGCAGCGGTGGGAACGAGAGGTGGGAATTCCCGTTAAAAAGCTTATTTTGACTAATAAAAGCTTTGATTTTCAGGAGATCTATAGATAAAGTATACCAGTATGCTGGCACTGGCTCTCTGATCCACACGCGCGTAGTCTTAACAGCGGCCCACATTGTGTATGGAAAAGACACAAATCTTTTGCTGGTCATCACCGGAGACCACGACCAGGAGAAGGCTGTGATGAAGAAGAAAGGAAAGGTAGTCACGGAAGTGGTCATTCACCCTCAATTTAATAGAGGTAAGTTATAATAAAATAAATATAAATATCCTTGGACAATTTACATAGCACCATGTATAGTCTGGTCTGCGAGCACGTAGAGTTTTGTCCAATGACCTCAAGCTACCCATCCTTATCGCTCGCGCGTAATTATATCGCACACTCACTGCCGCCCGTCGCACAGTCGCGACAGCAATATAATTATACACGCGAGCGATAAGGATGGGTAGCTTGGGGTCATTGGACAAAATTCTACGTGCTCGCAGACCGGGCTTTAGTCCCAAACTGCCCAATCTAAGTAGATTTTTTAATGCAGAACAAGGCAGGTATTTGACCGCAATCCGCAGGTTAAGTGTAACGCAGTCCAGGCTGGTACCTGCTTTAACTGGAGGAGGGGATTGGGGGTTCCCTCGAAGCCGGAGTTGCTCGCTCAGCGAGCCTCTAGCCTGAGGCGGAGCTGCGGACGTATGTCCGATCTAGGACAATAACTCGCGGCTCCGTTTCATTGGGCTACGGTAGACACCGTCGGGTTTTAGTGGGTAGGCCCCGCCTTTAGTGCAGCAGCAGCCGGGGAGAGTCCCACATAACCCACTGGCGCATTCCCATCGAACAGTGTGGTATGCGCAAAGCATTTCCCGATGTTAAAAAAATGGTACCTTCCCTATAAAAGTGCCTATTTACGCCTTGAAAAGGCCCGGATTATAGTGTTCTGTAAAGACATCAGCAGGCAACGAATTTCAGTCCCTAGCTGTTCGCATTATGAAAGAGTTAGCGAAACGTTAGTGCGAGCTGGTGGAATGTCAACAATATAGGGATGTAAGATTTTAAACTTTCGCGTTCCATTGCAATTAAAATAGTCTGCTTGTGACCACGGCTGCAGCATCGCAGCCGAAACGTCAAGCCGTGAGTACATAATGTAACTCATTAATAAACGTCGCGTTAAGACCCGTGTCTTACTATTATAATAGATGGTACTCTAGCCTGTCTCTGAGAAGGAACATTATGAAACTGGAGGAAAAAATCTTATTTACAGGTAATGGTGATTACAACTATGCACTAGCCTTCCTGAGAAAATCAGCTCTAGCGGACGGACTGCCTCATGTTGGGACTGTGTGTCTACCCCCTGCGGGCTACGTGCCCACAGCTGGGACGCGCTGTATCTTTTCTGGATGGGGGGTGGACTCGAACTTGATTAATCAGCAACAATTGGTCAAGGTATGTAACTAACTTAAGAAAAAGGTAAGTTTCCTTAGTAAGGTCTAGTATAAATAATTATTAATATTAATACTTCAAAATCCATTCGTTAAAAACGTCCATCCGTCTTCGAACCTTTCGAACTCCTATGTTCTTCTGACGAATTTTGTTTCGTTGCGGGTCCTATGACAGTTTAACTTTCCCTGGGACAAACTCGACCTTCACTGGTTGGGTTGCTCCTATTGGCTATTTGACGATTTGCTTGATAGCGACTCTCTCTCGCACTCACCGTTTCGTTTGCCCCATGCGTACCAGAGCGACGTGACGTCACGGGTGCCAGGTGCGCAGTACTGCGCAGTTAACTCGAGCGGGTTGTAATTTAATTACGGGACTATTCCCACCTCTCGGTCCACAAAATAACCATAAGGTCCTGTTTCCACAAAGGTGGAGCGGAGACTAGAGGAGATCTGTGAGCTGCGCGAGCTGTCAGCTGTCAGCCTACGAGTATTGCTATCTATGGATCACCAAACCGCTCCGCACATCTCCGCTCTTCTCCGCACCGCACCGCCGCTGTCAAATTCTGTAGAAAAACAAGTGCGCCCGACACCTCTCCGCTCGATCCATTTCCACCGAAGTGGAATAATATAATCTGATTGGTCATTCAAAAAACTTCTTTGCTCCGCTCCACACTGTTCCTTGGTGGAAACCGGGCCTAATCTTCGCTTCTGATCCACAGACTGATGTTCCAATGATGGCTCACGGAGCGTGCGAGCAGAGACTCCAGCAGGACCCAAGTCTGGGACCTGGATTCAGGCTGCTAGACTCCCTCACTTGTGCAGGGGGGGAGGTGGGGCGCGACATCTGCGGGGGAGGGGGAGGTTCACCCTTAGCGTGCCCGATGGAGGTAAGTATTTTTTTTATCCACAGCGAAAACTCTTGGCCTATTCTCACAATGATGGGAAGTGATGATCAGGTTGAAGGTGGAACCGAGCTTCACTCGGTATCCTCACCACAGAGAAATTTACCTCCAACTGCCGGAACACAAAATGCTGTTAACATTGTTGTTCTATCTAATCTAATCATCTAAGCAGAAAAATCTGCACCCACTGGGAATCGAACCTGGAACACCTGGTCTTACCACTAGACCACAGAGGCGGTTAAATCTACTTACATAGTTTAGCTACTGCAGTGCTAGCTCTCTCATGGCGCTTGTTATTCGAACATAGGCATCCTCTTCAACCTTCCACCGACTTCTGTCCCCGGTCACTTGCATCCAGTTTATTCCAGCTTGTTGCCGGATGTCATCTGTCCACCTTTTAGGCGGTCTTCCTCTGCCGCGGGTGTTATTGCGGGGTCTCCACTCCACTCGGGCGTAAATTAGAAAAAATATTTATTTTTTATTATTCTTCCAGGACTATCCGGAGCGCTACGTTCAGATCGGGATAGTCACCTGGGTGACTTCTGGGTGCGGCATCAATGGGTCCCCAACCGTCTTTGCCGACGTCTCCAAGGTCCGCTCTTGGATAGATCAGCAGTTGGCTAACAGAAGTTTTTATATTAACTGATACTAACATTACAGCCTACAGGTATTGCCATATTAAATAAAAAATATGTCTCTGCAATATTGTGTTTTATTTAACTGGTAATAATGTAGGTATAACAAAAACTTAAAAGCCACAGGCCGTTACCAATCGATTAACATGGAAATCATTGGGGGAGGCCTATGTTCAGCAGTGGACGTCCTATGGCTGAATGATGATGATGATGATGAAAAAACTAAAGGTGGCCTACTAGGCTGGACTGGATCTGATGAAGACCGCGTAAGCACCTGGATGCGAACAGCGCAGGACCGGTCGTTGAGGAAATCCTTGGGGCAGGCCTTTGTACAGCAGTGGACGTCATTTGGCTGAAACACTGACCAAAAACGGGACTCTCTTTTAAATCATTGCAACTCCTGTGTAGGAGTTGCTATGATGGAAAAGAGAGTCTAAAAAAAGCTACCTGGCTACACAGCCAGGATCTACAGCTTGGCATCAAAATTTGATTGTGTTAGAGAGAGCTCAGAACGCAGTTTTAAAGGTCTGTACGTTCAAGCCTTTGCTTTTTCCGAAGTACGAGCTGTTACAGTCCTGTGAAGTTTAGTATTATCTGTACCCCAACTTTTTATTCTGCTTAGTGTAATTTAATCATAGCTGGGCATTAACTCGTTAATCCGTTAATCGTTAATTAACGAAGTTAAGATTTCTATTAACGGATTAACTTTTAAGTTAACTTTAAAAAATGTTAACGGACTCGTTAACTTCCGTTAAATTATCCTAAGTCCGTTAATCGTTAATCCAGTACANAGTAATTTGAAAAAAAAAATTATATAAAAAATTAAAAAAAAATCTCAAAAATTTTTTGACCTCTTTTTTGTCGATAAAAATAGGTCTAGTTTCATCTATTTTCATATGTACACTTTAACGTGACTCACACTGTATACCATTTGTTGGCCCCACTCCTGAGCCGTTGGACATAATAATGAATAAATAACTTAATGTATTTAAAATGTAAGTAGATAAGTATATTAATTAATAATATTTTTCGTTTGCGCAATAAAGCACCTATTACTATTACACATTATGTCAATTTCCAAGCAAACCCGGGAGTTTTTGGTAGTTATTTATATGAAAATATATTTCTTATATTAAGTCCTAACAAATTTAATAGTAGTTACATTTCTGTTGGTTTTACGCCCAGATTCCATAGAAAAGTGCCCATCATCCTTTGGTATACTTATGTAAGTACGATGACAATGCAATGTTATGGTACCATTGAGCTGGTCTGATGATGGGAGTCATGAGGTGGCCATAGGAACTCCTAAATGAAACGGCGGCATCGCATCGAATTTGGGTTCGTTGGTTTTGTCTTTTCGAGCACTTTAGTCTCCATAGGTTCTCCACTGTTCTCTCCATAGGTTGTCTGGAAGAGATCGCTTCATAGCGATAAGACCGCCTAATTATACCTTATGTGTTCCTTTTCTTTCTGTTTTTTTTATCTGGTGTGCAATAATGAGTATTTATTATTATTATTATTTTATGTGATATATTATATCTCAGCATTAATGCTGTTAAAGTTAGACCAGATACGGGCCAAGCCAAGTATCTGATCCATAGAATTATCAAATATTTGCCGTGAGGCTGCTTCCATTAATAGTTGGTTCATCCTGTAGGAACCGCCTAACGATACGGCAGGTGTTCAGTATTGCCGCTTTCTGCATCGTGATATAACAATTTTCGTGGAGATCTATAACTTTAAGGCTATTAAGCAGATGATTAGGTATGACTCCAGTGCTGGAGAGCACCAGTGACACAATGTAAACTTTGTTAAGCTTCCAAATTCTGAGTATCTCTTCTTTTAATTCTGAGTATTTATGTATTTTTTCCGAAATAGTATTTTTGATGTTGTGGGTGTTAGGTACTGCTACATCTATTAGATATGCAATCTTATTAACTTTGTCTACCAAGGTGATGTCGAGTCTATTGCAATGAATGGTGCGGTCTGTCAAGATGGCTCAGTCAAAGTACATTCTGTAACTGGGACTCTCCAGCAGTCTTCGGTTCATATTGATAATATAGTTTAGATTTTTCGGAAATTAGTTTGTGTTTAATAGCTAATTTCTGGTGAACATAGTGAGCGATTTGGTTATGCCGGTGTGTGTAATCATTTTGGGTTAATAATGGGCATGCATTTATAATGTGTTGAATGGTTTCCGGGTATCTATGGCATTTTCGGCAGCGATCATCCTGTGCGTTGGGGCTTATCAAAAAGCCTTCAGTCTCAAGGAACAAATAACCAATTTTAAGCCATTTTTTGGAAGCCTCAGTGTCTACATGAGGTTGCTCTAGTTCGTGTATGTGTCTGCCATGTAATTGTTTCTTTCGCCATGTCTCTATTTTTTCCTGCTCTACCTGCTGTGCTGTCTGATAGATCTTATCTGTATCCAAGAGGTTAAGTGGGGTAAAGTTTTCGTCTGATTGTATAACTGCCTTGTGAATGGTACTATTCGATTTTGTATAATTATTATTATTATTTAGTACTGGATGATGTCCAGGGTCCTGATGATGGAGTCAGGAGGTGGCCATAGGAATTCCTAAACGAAACGGTGGAAACTTATCGAGTTTGGGTTTGCTGGATTTGTCTTTTCGAGCACTTTGGTGCTAAATTGTATTGTAATTGAAACAAGGCTCTGAGATTGAGTAAAAAGTAGAATAAAATTATAATAATTAAAAACTTTTTTAAAAACAAGCTTTTATTCTGAAATGCAGTTGTACTAAAACGAAAAAAATAATTGTACTTATGCAAGGTTCAAATAATTTCGAAAGCTTGTAGCGCAAACATAAAAGTGGAATAAATAAATTCCATGCGCGCTACAAGCTTTCGAAATTATTTGAACCTTGGATACAGTTATTTTTTTTCGTTTTATTATCATTATTTATCATGTGTTAACGGATTAACGATTAACGTTAACTTGCGTTAAATCTTGCGAAATGTAACGTTTTAACGTTTAACGAAGTTAATTTTTTTATTAACGGTTTAACGATTAACGAAGTTAACTATTTGATTAACGGTGCCCAGCTATGAATATACCGAACTCTCCCCTACTCGTATTTCTGAAAATTAACACTGAAAAGTAAATAAAACTAAGCATAGTTTTAAAATCAAAGTGCTTAAAATAGTAACTTTACAAAACCAATTTATTAAACTTCATAAGGTTAACGTTACAGCGAGCATTTTAGAGCAGTGTGCAATGAGTTGAAAAATAATTAATTGTGCAAAGAGCTCGGTTATAATTCCTACTAGTAAATTGTCTCGTTACAACATTTAACCCTCGGGGATCCAAGATTTAGGCTTAGGAAATTATTCAAGGAATTACTATCCGAGAAATACAAATCTTGGAATCTTAGATAACTTTCAATCGAAGTCACGGTTCACGCTCGGAGCAGTATGAAATTGCTATTTTCATGGAATATCACATAAGGCGGTAAATCTCTCTTGGGTTTCAGCTCTCAGAAACGTCTCCCACAGGTAAATTATTCCCTTAGAATTAGAATATTCTGAATCGACATTGTGGGCAGTGAATAAGTTAATCATACGCGCCTAAATCTTAAATAAATCCGCTGACAAATATGAATAAAACGTGTATTTGCCAGCAAATTTATCTTTTCTGGAAAATACTGTCTTTTTACGCAATTTAAATTCAATTGAATTCAATGTGGTGCTAGTTAAAAATTCCGTGCGTTTGTTTTGTATTACATACATGTCATAGTGTTTAATTTTACTTAGCAACTAAAGTGTTCCCGCTATTTATTGAAATAGTTTTTCTAGACTGCAAACGGGCTAACTAAGTTCCCTCTTTGTGGAACTGTTCTAATCAAACGACCCAAATAGGAATGACAGTCAACGAAACAAAATAAGACTCAAATCGAGATAACAAACAAAGCATACAGTATAAAATCGAAAACGGCGTACCTACCTACCTTTTGTAAAATAACTCTTGGCGCTTTTTTCTTCCTTTCAACTACAGAATAACACAAATAAATCCTCATCTTTATTTCAAATGTATAATATTCATGTACATGTATTGGTATTTGAATGTAACATAGGTAGTCAATCACATCGGCAAATTCAGCTCGAATGATATGAAAATTGTTTAGGAAACGATCTTGTACTGAACAAGAAATTTAATCCACTCGTAGTTCTCGGCAAATTAAACTTGGTGCAATCCAAAGATAGTTAGCCTTAACACGGTGTACTCGCTTCAACTACATTATTATAACTCATATTATTACATGCTATTCGTTCTTTAGTAAAAACAGTTTATAAAACTGCGTTTTAAATCAACTTTTAAAACGGCTACACGGCAGTTTTGTGCACACAGGATAATTAATTTAATTTTATTAATTCGGTTTGTAACTAGTCAACACTTGTATTACGAGTACGATGCAAAAAGTTCATAACAGTTTGACGAGACCAAATGATATTTTTAAGCGTTAACTCTTTTATGACATAAATTCTCTAACAACAATTAATATTTAATTCTATGTATATTTAATTATCGACACCGCCGGTTTCAATATATCAAAGGAATCGAGTCTATGTTTGGAATCTCCTAATTGTGCCATAGACAAGTATTCTACAGAATTGTGGCTGTTTCGGTTGGTTTAGCAAACAATCAGGCCATTGTCACTTAGGTGATATTAGATATTCATGCCAGGAATAGTATATTTGGTGCTTGAGATTCTAGACTAGAATATTGCTGGGCGATTTCACGATAAACCAATATCTAAATGGATTTAAGACAGTCAACAGTATGTAGTACTATATTCGAACAGAAATTGGTAAAATGTTGCAAATAAAGCTAAAGATTGATAAAAGATATGGAATAATCTTATATGTAGTGAAATGAATTAACCATAATTTGGTTGACGTACGAAAAACAAACTGAGTTAAAATTTTAATCTCCTTACGAGATTTTTACCTGGTCTTATGTGCAAAATTTCCAAAATCTATTGAATCGGAGTTCATAAATGTGTCTTGCTAGTGCTTCTATGTGTATTTCCATAAACCTGTTAAAACATGTATTTCACCGGTGCATTGCCAACAGAAAGTGATCAAGGAGATGAACCGGCTGGGCATGCTGGTAGACCTGTCCCACGTGGGAGAGAACAGCACCCGAGCTGCCATCAGGGTGTCACGGGCTCCGGTCATCTTCAGCCACTCGTCGGTCTACAGCCTCTGCGCCCACAAGCGCAATGTGCCTGATGACATCATCCAGTCTCTGGTAATTATCCGTATTCCATAGTGATTTCCGACAAGTTGGTCCCCTCGTTGGTCTATAGACTTCGCCCCCACAAGCGCAACGTGCTTCATGATATCCTGAATCACCTTGGTTCGTATACTTGTAATTTGTAGTAGGGTACCCACTTGACATCTTCACGCTCTTAGCTCTATCAGCCTCTGCGCACGTAATCGAAACGTGCTTGTTGATTACAGTATCTGATTCGAATATCAACAATTTCTATGAGCATAATTTGTTATTATAACATTTGATATTTTCAAGGTCTGAACCGAAAAGCAACGAAAGAAAATTACATTTACTAGCTATCTTCTTGTAAGTTTCAACGCTGCACCATAAACATAATTGGATGTAATGGGATATTGTGACTCCCGTGAAGTGATTACTTACCGATACTGCCGCTAATATTCAAAGGATGGTCCACGGGAGGCCTTTTCAATGCATTTGCGTCACCTCTACTCCCTCCATTTCAAAATTAATTCTGACTAACAACGTCCCGGGAAATATAATAAAATTCCTTCTTACAATTTCTTACAGCGACGACTTTCGAAAAATTTTCTCCACGTTATAAAGTGGTGCATATTTTCCCTTTAACGTACTGGAATTCTAAAGCGGCACCTTAAATTATTCTGCTGAATTTTTGCGAACAGAAAATGTTCCAAGTTTTACGAAATAAGACTGTTATCGGGGAACGAGCTTAGTCACTATGTCGTCGTGCAGAAGTTGACAATGTTAAAGCAATTTGAATAAAGCTAGAACGCGGTTTTGTGGTACTCGTTTATGCATATCACAAAGTTATTTTGACAAATAAATCTTGACTATACAAACTTTCTGGTTTTAGGCATTCAGAAACTTTAATAGCATTAAATAAGATAAAACTTCATCGATCTTGGGTCGTAATATTTTTCACAGTATCAGAACAAATATTACAGTGAAATTCAACGTAACTTTAGCCAACTTCAAAAACTCCTGGTACCTTTTATTTTATGTAACACGATATCTCTCCATTAAAATTAATAATTATGTGCGAGATGTTGACATTATATTTTTATCGAGATTGTGTTATTATGTTACAAGCCTGCAAGATACTACAAGATAGATTTTTTATATCAATAGGAGGTACTTATTATGTACTAGAACTTGCTTATACAATTTTTTATTTGTGATACCTTTTCTATTAAAACTGATTTGCGATTCAAAAAAAATTTTAATTTTATTCATTTTTGGACTGAACAAAACTGAAACCAATTTATTAGCAGCTAGCCAGAAGCGTTAAACAGAATTGTTATTTAGTTTCCAACTATGTAATGTTTTAGTGAAAAATATTTTTAATTTACATGTTCCTTCTTAATAATGAACAATGTTCTTTTATCATTGTGACAAAATCCATTACTTTATCATTTAACTGCTAATGTTAAATGGAAATTTACCCATGGAGCATAAAATTACTAATGAATAGTAAAACGAAAATAAACCTGCTGCTGCACAGTTGAAACAATTGCACAAATGAATTTTCCGGTAATTGTTGTCGCTATAAAATTTCAATCAGAATGGACAATCTGTTTGCAAGAACAGAACGTTGTTGGCGGGAAAATGAGTTATTGTAATATTTTTAAATAAGTATTTTACTTGGTAATACATCAAGGCATAATAATAAATATATCGCATGATGTATTACAAAATTACTTACAATTTAAAGTCGAAAACCCTGTATCATTTTAAAAATAAATATTGAGTATTTTATACAGTCTGAGCCAGCATTTTTGCAAAAAAAAAGATACCTTTTACAACTCCATTAGTTGGTACAGAGCTTAATGTACGAGCCTTTTTTAGTGTTTACGTCCACCAGCAAATGTTAATATTCTGCTTTCCTTTTCCATTTTTATATATTATGAAAAAGGCATGAATATAACAGTAATTCATTTGCAGAAGGAGAATGGCGGCATCATCATGATCAACTTCTTCCCGGACTTCGTCAAGTGTGCTCCGAACGCGACTCTTTCTGATGTGGCTGGTAAGTCATTATTCAATTTACTACCTAAATTAAGTAAATCGCAGGATAACTTTAGTTAACTAGTGAAAGCTTTACATCTACGATACTACATACTGCTACTACTATAACTTTACAAAAGTACCTAAGTACTGAAGCGTATGAAAACCAAGACAACACATTTATGACCCTTTTTATAGGGAGTCGTGATTTCAAACAATCGTGATAAAATTACAGTCAATAGGTCGGTTAAGGTTGTGTGTTCATGAGAGCTGGGCGAGATACAAAGCTAGAAATAAAAGGTAGGTAGATAAACGATTCTTTTAAACTCTTTTGAACTTCAAAGCAATCGAGAGTTATGAGTAAGATAAGTCCCTATTCGTTTCTCAAGCAAGCTTTTAACTACACGAAGCACACAGCGTCAGCTGTCACAGCTGGCACTCCGCCCCATTACCTCGCACTTCTCTACAGGAAAAGCAGCCGTAAAGCGTGATTACATTCATCTTGTTTTCTTAAAATATCTAGATACCTTAACGGTGTCGCGGAAATGCGAGATGTAATTAGATTTATCTCCTACTTTGCAATGTCATCCTTCATTTTAAGTAAATATCCTCGCTGTCGCGGTGTTTTTGTTTCAAAAGGCAAATTCATATACAAAATGCTCCTTTGGTGCTAATAGAAAATGAAACTGAATCTGCATCATGTAATCTTTATGTTGTTTATAATGTTTACTAACACTAATAAAAAACTAGCTTTCATACATTCAGCAGCTTTTGCATGAAAGAGCTGTTATAAACATCCATTCAGTTAGGATTAAATATCTGAGGACAATAATGCAAAATCAATGGGCCAACAAAAGGTATCGTTAAATCATTTGCCCGCAAAGTTAACCGGGCACGGCTGGAATCGGTGACCGATTGTACCACATTGCACATTTGTACCCCACCGGCCACAACGTCTATTGTTCCGAACGGAACAGTCGCATGATAGTGCGTACAAAGACGGATTCCATGATTGGAAACCCGATTGGATCCAGTATCCATGGATTCTATTCGGATATTACAACTGTTGACGATGGCCACCAGAAGTAGGTAGTTGATAGACCTACATATTGTTAATTATGTAAATGTAGTTACTTATGAATCTAATTTGCCTTTAACCTGAAACTAACTATGTATCTATGTGTGTGTACCTATGTACCTATCAATGAATAGGTATATTTGCACCGTAATAATAATATATTTAACTATGTCAACTGTAAATTGAACATGTCGAACTTACACTGTGTGTATGTGATTTTGGATAATTAAATAAGTAAGCGAATCTGGGTGCGCGCGTAGGTAATAATATTATCGCGCGCCTAGAACATTCCGAGCTAGCCGTTAGCAATGCGGCCCGCTGATTGGCCGGAGGCCTCTCGCCTTTTATGGTGAGAAGCTTCTAGCGGCTCACCGCGCCACACACGCGGCCGAGAGCCGCCAGTCGTCGTCGAACTCTCACCCTCTGCGAACGTACTAGTGCGCACACCCGGACGCGCCTTCATTTTCAACGTACCTACCTGGACTTTCATTTTCATCTATCACCTACGTTCACCCATCGACCTACATCGCCTACAAAGTGGTCCTACGAGCCGAATTTACGATAGTGAACACACAGTGATCCGCCAAAATGTCTTTGCTTCGCTCCCCCCGCGGCGCCGCTGTTAAAACACGCCGACAAATGATGGACGAAGACAAGACAAACAAAGTGAAAGTCGCTAGTGAAGTGTTGAAGAGTGAGGGCAGCCAGTCCACGCGCACATCGTCTGCAGCACGGCGACTCACTATTGAAGCTGCACGCAAGAGGGCGGAAATTGAGATCGAAGCGATCGAAGCCGCAGAAGCAGCCGCAAAATCCGCCGCGAAAGCCGCCGCGGAAGCCGCCGCGAAGAAGGCGGCGATTCGTAAATCGTTACTTGACATAGAACGCCGACCTTGCCGAGCTGGGCTCGGAGGGGAGGAGTGTGAGATCATCGTCTGAGAAAGTGGAAGCTTGGCTTGACACATCACACATTGCAACGACACATCGGGAGGAGAAAGTCACTTGCACCGCGCCCCAGCAGCGTACTGAAATACAAGAGCTGGCGGCTGCACTCACAGTTGCGATCTCCAACGCCGCTGCAATGAACCAAAACGACCAACTGTTGTCAAGATTGGCCACCTCTAAAGACCTACCCATTTACTTCGGTGACCCCCTCAACTGGTTACAGTTCCGGAACGCATACTTCGAGTCCACCGAGATCTGTAAATACACCGACACCGAGAACATGTGGCGCCTTCGTAAATGCCTACGAGGCGAAGCTAAAGACGCAGTATCTTCGCTACTCATCGATTGCACGTCACCTAATGAAATAATCGACATGTTAGAGCTTCGGTTTGGCCGACCTGAAATCATCATGAACAAGATAGTGTCACAACTCAAGAAGATACAACCACTACCTGAAAGTTACCACACCGAATTAGTGCATTTCGCAATCAACATCAAAAACCACGTAGCAGCCGCCCGAGCGATAAAGCAACGCGAGTACCTACTGAGCCCCGAACTCGTAAACATCATCGTGTCAAAGTTACCTACACTACTCGTGACCAAGTGGGCTGACTACGCTTACACCAACCGCGAGTTACACGAGAAACCTAAGTTAGAGTGCTTATCAGACTTTCTATACCTAGAAGCACAAAAAGTAGCCGCGGCCGGTGTTAGCTTCGTTCGTACACAACCAACACGAAGCCAGACGTAAGCCAGAGTACATCAAAAGCTCACACAACAATGTACCTGTCTTTACGAACGACGAGCAGAACAACGACAAGTGTAACTTTTGTAAAACACAAACACACTCACTTGAACAATGCCTAAAGTTCAAGCGAGCCCTACGCAAGGATCGCTGGCGCTTCGCACGTACAGAGAAACTGTGTTTTCAATGCCTACTACCACGACACGCCGATACTACGTGCACAGCCCCCGAGTGTGACGTCGAAGGTTGCGGACTCGGCCACCACCGCCTTCTACATTGGTCGAACCCGCGACCCCAGCAGCAGACGGCATTAGAACGCGACGAACAGCATCTCAGTGAGAGTGACTGCGAAACCGTAAACCATACCACCGCGCTTCAGTGCAACGACGAGTCCCAAGTACTACTGAAAATAGTGCCGGTTACAGTGTACGGTCCGAAAGGCAGTATGCACACGCACGCCTTGCTAGACGACGGTTCGACCGTTTCGTTAATCGCGTCGCGACTCGCGGATGAGGTTGGACTGCACGGAGCGCCTCATACCATGCGCGCTCGTGGTGCATGGGACAATGAACTATCATGTGAGACGGAGATAGTGAACTTTGAAATCGCGAATAGGGACAATAAGCGTTTTAGTTTACAAGCTAGAAAGATTTCCAAACTCAATTTGCCAATGCAAAGTGTAGTTAATGTTGATTTTTGTAAATATGAATGTGTAAACATTGATTTGTGTAAGTGTAATGCCCAGCCTATGTTACTAATCGGGCAAGACAATTGCGACTTAATCGCTCCTATTGAGTGCATAAGGGGAAATCCAGGTGAGCCATACATGACGAAAACGAGCCTAGGATGGTGCGTGCACGGGACAACGAAAAAGGTAAATAAGTCATCTGTTTGCTTTACCACAAACTTGTGTTATGAATCCCGTGAACCAACTCAAAACGTCGCCGCTGCCTGTTGTAATAATACCGACGCGCTGGCCGGTAGCGCGGTCCCGCTCGCACTCGTTGCGTGCGAACAGGCCCCACTTGGGNCTCATGAGTCATGAGTCATGACGTCACTAATTTGCCGGACTCTTATCAAAATACCTGTTTGTATTGAAATCTGTGTTTTGAAAGATATTTTCCAGGTCGTAATTATTTTGTAAAGGTTGACTTATTTCACATAAATATTAATTGTTAATGTTATTTACCTGTGTGCTTTTGAAAATGTTACTTTGTTTATACCTACTTTACCGTTTTTTTTTTTTACGACATCGTCCTATCCCAATACCTACATATTGGAAACTTGTTGGAACCGCGCAACGCTAACCGTGCTTGAGCCAACTGGAACTAAGGTCTGGGACCAACAGCTATGGCTGCGAAGAAGTGACCAGTGAGTGACGCGCGTAGTTTTAACCTTGGTTATGAGTGTCGCAAAGCGACACTAGGGGGGAGGATGTTGACGATGGCCACCAACTATGTATCTATGTGTGTGTACCTATGTACCTATCAATGAATAGGTATATTTGCACCGTAATAATAATATATTTAACTATGTCAACTGTAAATTGAACATGTCGAACTTACACTGTGTGTATGTGATTTTGGATAATTAAATAAGTAAGCGAATCTGGGTGCGCGCGTAGGTAATAATATTATCGCGCGCCTAGAACATTCCGAGCTAGCCGTTAGCAATGCGGCCCGCTGATTGGCCGGAGGCCTCTCGCCTTTTATGGTGAGAAGCTTCTAGCGGCTCACCGCGCCGCACACGCGGCCGAGAGCCGCCAGTCGTCGTCGAACTCTCACCCTCTGCGAACGTACTAGTGCGCACACCCGGACGCGCCTTCATTTTCAACGTACCTACCTGGACTTTCATTTCACCTATCATCATCATTCACCCATCGACCTACATCGCCTACAACAACGTATGGGAGTACGGAACCATGCATTATTGCATGACCTAACTCAATATCAGGAATAGGTTGCGTACCTAGGTTGAATTGCAAAGAGCTTTTTATTGTGAAATCTTTTACATATCAGGCCATGTTGTTACATTCATGTAAAGGCTCACAAAAATCTCAATCCTCTTCCTTCCCAAGCGCCAAAAGTTAGCAGNGAGCCGCCAGTCGTCGTCGAACTCTCGTGATCTGCGAACGTACTAGTGCGCACACCCGGACGCGCCTTCATTTTCAACGTACCTACCTGGACTTTCATTTCATTTATCATCATCGTTCACCCATCGACCTACATCGCCTACAACTAAGTATGTCAGTCAG